ACTCTTTAATTATAGTTCTAATGTTTCCACTGAGTCCAAATAACCACAGCTCAGTCAGGGATTGAATTTGCAACTACTATGTCACCAAATTCCTATACCAACTCTTTAATCAACTAGGTATTGTAGAACAATTCTGAGTGGAGAACTCGGAGCCTTAAACCTAGACCTCTAGCTGATGAATGTTGCTGCTACTTGTCACACTTGACTGCACTCAAGCCTCACTCATTAATTCAGGTAGTGATGATTACTGTTTTCCTTCACTACATGGTCAAGCATTTCTGCTTTCATTGTCTCATACCCCAATAGTGCTTCCTATTCTAAATTTGACTTATTGTAAAAAGCAAAATGGATTGTATTTTAAAATTTATATATATATGTGTGTGTGTGTGTGTGTGTGTGTGTGTGTAACCTCTTTAAAACATGTTTTTATGCTGAAGTAAGAAAAATAATAATTTACCTGTGATTTTATCTAAAACAATTTCCAAAGAATTCAAAGAATCCAGGACAGTTTTTATAAAGAGTTGCCACTCTGTACTGTTACTGATTGTTGAGAGTACAGGCTGTAGTCCAGGCAAAAACAATTTCAGGATGTCTGTAGAACTAGAAACAAAAGAATTCATGATAACAGAGTTCTTTATTTTGCTATGTAGAAAACATGTAACAGTGCACAAGGACAAAAATAACTATGCAATTTTACAAATCAATTTCTTTTTAATATTATTTCTCCATATATATATATATATATATATATATATATATATATATATATATATATATATATATATATATATCCTATCATAATTGTTGTTGTCCCTCCTTTCACTAATTACCATGACCATAATGTCCTGTCAATAACTCATAAATAATGAACAATTCCATGTTTTGATTGAACATGGAAAAAGAGGAAAACTACTTGGTTTCAGTGAGAAAATAAAATAAAGAATGAAAAAAGGGAAGGTAAAAGTCTTTAACGTATCCTGCCAATACCTCATAAATAATAGATTATTCCATGAAAGGACAAAATTAAATTTGCTAACACTATGAACAATCTAAAGTAAATGTAAAAGGCTGTTTCTTTGATCGAAAAATCAGATGAAATAATTATCAAAGCAGATAAAACAGGTATTCATTACAAAATCAATGCGGATATGTACCATAAAGCTACTAATAAAGAAGTTAATAAGTTTTATATAAAGGGAGCCAAGAACTGGAAAATAACATCAATAGTGAAGCCAAGAAAATAGACACTGTGAACTAAAATAGGATTTGGAAATTTCACAAAGAACAAGCATTCATCACCTTTAAAGGCCACAAAGAAAATTTCCTAAACAACCCTCAATGTCAATTACTCAACCAAACTAAAAATAATATCAGTAAAAATCAGCAAACGGATCCTTGAAAGAGCATGCAAATACACAAAAAATGATCTAGAAATTAACCAGTAGCATCAAACATCAGAAGCCATAGAATACCTTACTAATATAAAAAGGAAGAATGAATGTACATTCAGCCAATTCATATTTATGACTTATCTATCCATCACCAAGAATCTGCTAATGTCTGCTATAAATTTAGAAAAAAATTACTGTCCCATTAGCAATTGTGAAATAAAAATCCTAAAGGAGGCACAAGAACCTATATTATTCCATAACAGCTATCCATGGACCAAAAGAAGTAACCTAGACTTTAATATTGTTATGGGAGAATATGATTCAACATGTGAATTAGTTGGAATCTTGTTATTGTGGCAACTAAGATTCCAAACATATGTACACTAGACTCTATAGAGATGATAGCGTAATTCTCCTCCTTAAAACAAGTCCAAGAAATGCAGATTGATTGAGAAAGGAACTGATAAAAATTTTCAAAGCTCACAAGCTAAATATTACCATTACCACCAATGCTAAAGTGAATAACTTCATTGATGTGACCTTGGATGTGAATAATGCTTATTACAAACCATATACCAAAATCTATATAACCCTAAGTATGTCAGTAAAGAATCAAATGACCATCATAAAATTCTAGATAACTTACATAAATCAATCCATCTTAGACTATCTACCAACCCAGCAATAAGGACATATTTGATAATAATAAAATGAAATATATAAAAGCTTTAGAACTAAGCAACCATAAAGTAAATTTAGAAAAAACTAAGAAAGTAAAATTAAACAGAAACACCATAGGTATAACCTTATATGGTTCAATCCACCTTTTAACAGTAATGCAATCATAATTGCAAATACCAAAAAAAGTATGATCTGTCCCTTACATGGTCAATGCATGGCTGATAATATTGTATACTGAGCTATTATCTAGAGTAGGCAAAAATAAACAGAAGCACCTTAAGCATACCATCATATGGTTTAATCCATCTTTTAACAATAATGTTCAAATGAATATCAGAAGAATTTTCCTAAATTTAATTCATAAGCACATTAACCATTCACCAACAAATCTATATCCTAATATAACATTATATTAAATAAATATTTTTCCAGTAAAGACAATGTTAATTTTTAAAACAATAAATGCAATTGCTGAAAAAAATAGGATCTGTCCCATAAACAGTTAATAAATGCCTGATAATAATATATATGAAGCTATCATATATTCTGGTAATGATGCTAAATTTTATTTTTGTTCCACTGTAAATCCTTAGTAATTTAATTTCTACCATTATCAAATGACTTTAGGCAATATAAAATACAAAAACAGCACTGCTATTTCTGGAAATTAAAGAATGGCACTAATACACCTTTTATCACCTGGGATATTGTAGCAAGAGCCAAATATTAAAATGGGAAAGATAATACATGTAATCTATGTCTTGTTGAAAAATGTGTTATCTTAAAACAAGAGAAATGAATTGATGATTACATGTAGGCATAAAAATAAATATCTGCTCAAATATGTTGATCCAGATTCATTTTTAATGTAAATTATGGTTTGTGTTTTTGCTTAATATAAAAAATTAATATTCACAACTCTAAATTATATATATATATATATATATATATATATATATACACACACATATATATATTAAGAAATATAGTTTTAAGGTGTGCTATATTTATGGGATAAAGTGCTCAATATCAGAGATAGAGTGTATGTAAATATAAAAGTGAACATTGAAGTCAACACTCAGAGGGAACAGGCTGTTTCATGCGAGATGCAAATGGTGGCCTGACGATTGCATCTAGCATGAAACAGCCTGTCGCCTCTAATTGTTGACTTCAATGTTCACTTTTATATTTTTTTATATATATATATATATCATAAAAATTTGTTTGCCTGCATTTTGAGATAAGCTCAGATCGTTTATTTAGTAATTTATTTTGGTCTAGAAGGTAATAATAGCTATTTTTCCTCCAAGCAAAGATTGCAGGTTTTTTATTGTTTTAGGCTGATGAATTTTTCCTATTTTCCATGATATTTTTTCCTATTTTCCATGATTTGTGTTTTGTTTTTAATTTCCCAGATATACTTAGAAAACATTGTGCTGTTCGCGTATTTATTATTAGTAATAGTAAATAGTAATAATAGTAAATACGTGAACAGCACAATGTTTTCTTAGCATATCCACACACACTACCGAACCAAAATTTGTGATTATAATGATTTTTTTCCCTCTAAACTTAAAAAATGAATCAAGTTTCATGTCTCAAAGGAAATAGATTCATTTTTTTCTATGTTTGTATGAAATTATGCAATAATTTAAATCAAAATGAATATAAAATAATTATATTTGTCTATATTTCTGAGATGAGATATTGTAATTATTTACATTATTCGGACTGTTGTCCTCATCTTTGTTGCCATATTCATCATGTTTTGGCCATTTTAGGTTTCGGACTTGGAATTTCTAACTGAACCCTTTATTTCATCCATGAGGGTAGATTGTTCTAGTTCCATGTGCTATGCCTCTTCCTGATGTCTCAGTTGCCTCTGTTTAACTCAACATTCCAAGTATTGGGTTCACTACTGCAGCAACCAGCAACTTACAACTCTTTGGGTCAAGTCAACACTTTTATCCACTGGGCCTTGTGTCCTCAAGGACTTGAAGAGTTGAGTTAAACTGAGATATCTGAAAGAGGCATGGCAAGTGGGACTAGAACAATCTACCCCGGTGGATTAAAGGCTTTACATATATACATAATAGGTGAATGTATTTATCCAAATATGCAAAATTAGTCCTTTTTATGAACTTAAAGAAACAATTTAGGGTAGTCCCAAACTTTTGATTGGCAGTGTATATTTCCACTTATATTAAAAAATGTTACTAGAATATATATAAAAATGTTCATATTGCTTAGAATATGGCAGTCACTCAAAATTATTAAACAGCTTCTAAGAATAACATTCACTATTTTTACTCATGTTATTATTGTTTGTTATAATATTATTACAGATACAATATATACAATTTCCAAAAATTTGTATTGCCCATTTCTTATTTGCATTATGATTTTAGCATTAATACTTAAAATATGATTTCCATTACTGCTAATATTTTTCTCCTATTTGAAAAATCTTGTATGCATCAGCTTTCTTCAGGTGATTGGAATTTCATTTATTTTGTCCGCTGGAGTAGACTGTTCTAGTTCCGTGTGCCATGCCTCTTCCTGATGTCTCAGTTACCTCCCTTTAACTCAACATTCCAAGTTTTTGATTCACCACTTCAGTAGCCAGCAACTTACAACTCTTTGGGTCAAGTCACTGGATCAAACCAACTGGGCCATGAAGGAGAGTTTATGGAGTTGAATTAAAAGGAAGATAACTGAGATATCTGGAAGAGGCATGGCATGTGGGATTAGAACAATCTACCACAGTGGATTAAAGGCTTTGCATATATACACAATAAATTTATTTTCAAAGACATATTCTGTTGCCGTTTTGTATTGGTGTTAATTTTCTATTAATAATGGTGGCATTAGTAACTTGTCATGATTACCATTATATGCAACATATTGAAATGTAGAAACAATGTCTTCTTACTTGAACTGAATGGGTTGCATTTTTGTAGTATTGACAAAGGACTCAATCAACTTATTAAAGTTGTCACTCCACCAGATGTCATCCTTTGTCACCTTGAAGGTCAGCATCTTATGGGATGACAGGGACATAAGCAGATTATAAAATAGTGTCACTTCATCTGCTACTGCTGTATAGTCTATTGTCACATTTCTGGTTGGCATCTGAAAATGATGCAAAAGACAAAAAAAAATGTAAATAAAATTAAACCCTATCAAGTTTAACAATAGGATGTTGCAATTTTACTTTTTATGCTGAATGTAATTTATCATCTTATCCAAGATATGGACAGATTTGTGGGTTATTTGCCCATAGCTAGGACCCAAACAGGTGCTACCACCCCGGGTCAGGGTGGACCTAGGAACATCAGTGGTGGTCCCATGCTCCTCAAAATCTCCTGATCAGAGGCCTTGATGTCGGATGTAGTTTATTGTTTTACCCAGGACATTGGATGTAATTTATCATATTATCCAAGATGCGAACAGGTTTGTGGGTTAACTATTTGCCTATAGCTGGGACCTTAACAGGTGCTACCAACCCAGGTCAGGGTGGACCTGGGAACACCAGCAATTAAGAAGTGGTTCCATGCTTCTCAAAACCTCCTGATCAGAGCACTTGCTGTTGGACGTAGTTTATTGTCTTACCCAGGTCACATATGTAGTTTATCGTCTTACCCTGGAAGGGCAAAAATTGAATGCTTTTGCACACTGATAATTTTCAATGTAATTTCTAACATTACTTTTCTTCATTCAATACTGTGTGCATCTGCTTTTGTTTCCATCACCTTTGTTGTTAAATATTCCACATTGTGATAGACTTCCTTGGCAGATCTTCTATTATCACAATGTGCGATATTTAATAACAAAAGTGAGGGAAACAAAAATAAATAGAATCTAAATGAAATTGGCTGCATTATATATGCAAAACACACACACAAAAAAAAAACAAAAATAAAAGAATTATTTTTAAATTTAAAATTCCCTGCGTCTTTCGCTTGTGCAGATGTGTAGGTGCATCAATATAAATTTAATCTGAAGCAGGGGTTGGCAACCCCAGGCCCAGCCCGACAACTTAACACTTGGATACTAATTATCTAATTCATTTTTGGAGCAAGTGGCAGAAAAAAAAATATCAGTTCGAGGTAATTAACTTACAATGTGATGAATTTTTGATATCAAAATTTCATTTTGAATCTACTCTCTGACTTCTACAAGAAATATGTTTTGCCAAGTGAAAATATAAAAGCCTATTGAATAATGTGAAAATGATGGTATCATTATTTGAGAGTACATATGCTTGTGAATAACTAATTTGAAATTGAAATATACTAAAAGTCATTTAAGGACAAGGTTGGGTGATGACAACATGGAGAACGCTTTGCTTGTGTCGTTGATGAATATTTCACCTGATGGAGAGAAGTTATCGAACAATAAGCAGAAACAAGTGTCTCATTAAATAATTTGGCATTTCTGTTTAGTTTGTAGCAAGGAATTTGCATTTTTTGTTGATTGTGTTAGTTGTTAGCCTGTTATTCCTGCATTAAAATGAGAAACCTTGTTTAAATAATATACCATTAACTTTGTTGTTTTTTCTTTAAGCCTTCAGAACAAGGCAGCCTTCTGGACGAAGCAGCCTGAGGTTGAAACAATTTATTATAGTAAATTTGACATAATGGCCCTCTTCTGAGACACTGCATAGTTTTCTGGTCCGCTCTCTCCAAAAAGTTGCTGACCCCAGTCCCAAAGGATGCATCCCATGAAAACTTTTTCTTTGTCATATATATATATATATATATATATATATATATATATATATATATATAAAAGGTCTTGGTAAAATAAAGTGTTGCTCAACTTCTGTGGACATACTGTGTTTCCTGAGGCCTGCAGGTGTTTTGCAAACTTTTAGACTTTTTGGAACATGTGTTTGAACCATTTTGCTTGAGTGGTTGAGGATCAGTTGCCACATGTTTCCATGAGTGGAGAGCAAGACCTGCTTTATTGCATGCAACAAAGCCACTGTGGCACTTAAGGCTATCATTGAGAAGAGCCAACTTTCTTTAATATTTGCCCACAGTTGATCCCAATGTTCAAGTCGGCCTACTGAAACCTTTATTTCGATGATAAGCAGGACAACCAGCTCCTTTGATCTGATGCTTTATTTTCCCAGAAAGAAAAGGGGATACTGCATCGCTTCAGTTTGTCTTTGTAACTCTGAATGGACTTCCAAATGACTGGTTTCTTAGAAACTGGCCAAAGAGAAGTTGTTTTGAAAGTCTGCTATTACTCATATGAGAAAGATGTCCTGCCAACCCAAGTTGGATTTTTATCAAGATGGCTACAATACTTGGGTCTGCAGTCCAATTTCATTGTGCATTGCACAGTGACAGGAAGAAGAAATAAATAAGAAAGGAAGAATAATTACCAAGAGATGAGTAATTTGGCCACTGGGGTCAAAGTTCTGTTGTAATTCAATCCACAATTTGGTACCATTCACTTCTTTACATAATCTGGACTGCAGCTGGGTCAAATTCACATAGTAATAGGCGGCAACTGTCTGATTGAAGACCTTGTTTAATAGTTGGGGGTTGTTGCAGATGTTCTGCCATGTGCCTGGGTTGCTAATAGATGAAATCTGCAAGGGAGATAATCAATTTAATTATAATGGGCATATTCATACTCCTGAAGAAAGCAAGACAAAATAGAGAAACTGAAAAGTGACCATTGGGAATAATTCTGTCCTACACTCATGAACTCATCATTAATAATCGAATCCCTTTCCTAGAGGATTTCATTTCATTTCTAACCATAACAGTCATAATTTCCTTTTTTTTAATCATTTTTACTTCAAGAAAGGCAATAAAGCCACTAAGTTGCAAGGATTAATTTGCTATAAAAAAGAACTAAGTTACAAGCAAAACTTTGTGCTTTCTCAATTACAAAGATTAATGTCTTAATTTATAGCTATTATAAATCAGTTTCAGGCTGAGGTAAATAGCATATGAGTGCCGAAGTTAAGCAATGTTGAGCCTGTTCAGTACCTAGATGGGTGACTGTTGACCATGTTTGCTGTAGTCTTTGAATATAGAATCCAGTGAAGTACGTAATGTGTTCAATATCAGAGGTTGGCAGTGAAGATTCGGAGAAAGTAGCAGCTGTTAAGTAATTCTTTAAGTCTTCGATATCAGAGGTTGGCAGTGAAGATATTTTGGTAGAAAATACAAAATGGCTTGCATTTATACAAGTCAAATTGAATATTTTGAGCTTTCTGATTGGTTAACCCTTCTCTTGGTGGACTATAAAATGAGTCAGCTCATTTTGGCTAGCTCACTAGTACCCAAAAATTCTAACAGTGACAGCTTGGGAATACCAGGTACTGTAAGTTTGGATGTGCAGGTGGTGTAATGGATAATGACTTGGAATTATTAATTGGAGAGCCACATTCCCATATGATCACCACATGCAGAGTATGAATAAAAGGACAATATATCAAGTAGCCACTGTGCAGTTGAAGTAGTAGTCCAAATTGAAGTTGTCAGGTGACATTTTCATGTTTTTAGTCTACTTCCTGCTGTATGAAAACTTTTTGTAAGAAAATGGACTAAATTTTCTTTGTTACTTTTTTACAGTTTATCAACACTTTAAAGGTTATGTAAAGCCAAAAAAATACTTTTAGTCTTCAAGAATTTTTTTATTCTTTGGAAATAATAATGGTTTTAGTGATACAAGTTTTACTAATTAACCCATAGTCTGGGGAGAATTAGATTCAGACCTTTCCCAAGGGCATGTGTATTTAAGTGAATATAATGGGTTCTTTCAGATGATTAAGAGAGTAGTTTTGTTTTGGAGGCATTAAAATTAAAATTAACAAAAATTTCCTCACACTGATTGTGAAAAGAATTAAGATATCATAAAAGATGCCATAAAGGTGGCACCAAAGTATGGAATGAGAGCAGTGATGACACAAGAACTCAAATCCTCCAGAAAAAGTCAAAATGAGGAATTAATAATTTTCTAAACATTTTCAAATACATCAGTGTATGGATCAGTTATAGCAAATTTAGTATTGAATGCAATTGAAAAAAAAGAAAAAAGATAATTCATAAAGAATTTGCTTTTTAAAGGTTATCAACTCTTTGCAGTTTATTTAAAGCCAGAAAATATCTTTACATTGTAAGAATATTTTTTTTTGAGATAGTGATTTACTGATAGTCTTACTAATTAACCAACAGCTGGGGGTACAGGTGCATTCATACCTCATCAGCCTGGGGATCAATTCTATATTAAAATCAATATATAAAGGGATCACTCACTTTATGGCAAGTTACTTTCTAGACATTTATATTCCAGAGAAAGTAAACAAATCTAAAAAAATGTGCCTGTGTAGTTAATCAGTATTTCATTGATTCATTCATTTCCTACTACTTGTTGCAGGTTATTTAAAGCCAGAAAATATTTTTAGATTCTTAGAATTTTTTTTGAGATAATCATAGTTTTTGTGATACAAGTTTTACTAATTAACCCATAGTTAAGGGGAGAAGAGGTGGATTCATACATTTCCCAAGGGTATTTGTGTCTAAGTGCATATAATGAACCCAAATGGAATTGGAACTCGGCTCTCCAATTAACAATTCCAAGCCATAATCAATTACACTACCCACACATCAAAGCTTATAGCACCTAGTATTCCCAAGTGGTCACCCATTGAGGTACTGACCTGGTTTGACCTTGCTTAACTTCAGTGATCATATGGGAACCGGTGTTCCAATGTGATATGGACATTAACCCAAACAGTAATCAAGATACAAAAAAAAGAAAAGGAACAATTTTTGTAAAACACCTTAATGATTTCTCGAATATAAAGATTTAGATTTACATTTTATTTATCTGCTTTCTTTTCCCCTTTTCTTTATTTTTTGTAAACAAGGCTAAATATTCACACCTTTGACCTTCAGACAAGGACTTAAATAAAAATGTGTGACAATTGTAAGAAAAGATTTCTTATATTACCTTTTGATAATCATTTAACAATTGCAGTGATGTTTCCAGCAAGAGATTTGCCATTCCTGGGGAAGCCAGAACCAGAGAAATAATCTTTTTCAATTCTTGCGATTTCACAGCATCCATAAGAATAAACTCTCCTGTAGCTGAAAAATAGATAAACAAAAAAAAAAAACAATGTACTGTTTATACTTGTGTATAAGTTTACTTCCTGTACAGAGAGAAAAACCAGATTTTTTCATATAGATTGTGTATAATGTAACTTTAAATACTGAGCAATACTAGTAGGCCTACCATAGTCAAATAATGCAGTACTAGACATCATCATGGACATATAGCAAATAAATGGTCTTTATTCTTTTTTTTATTCTTTATTCTCAACCCAAAATAGTGAGAAAAATGACTTATCCTAAAATTTCTGATATGAAGATTTACATACTGTACTTTTGTTTTCATTCATGCCTGGCTATAAAACCATTTCAAATGAGTACAAGTAAAGACCTATTTTTTACATAAAAATAAAAAATGTCATACTTATGCTATTTGCCTTATTTATGCTGGAATTTTGCACTAACTTAAAAAGGTGTATTTCACAGAAGCAAAAATCAACAAAACTTTTCCACTCAAACAAAAATAGTCTTGTTGTTATTGTAGATGTTATGCCACTTTTTTTTAAAATCATTTCATCCCAAGCAAGGCAGTAAAGTCACTAAGATGCAAGGGGGTTACTGAAAGGTAGAGAATAAGAGAAAAAAAAAAGACTATGAAGGAGAGAGGACAATAAAAGAACAAGAATTAAGGAGACAGAAGATAGAGCTTGACATTGCATTTAAATTTTTGAAGATCAAAGTTGTCTGGGAAGTGAAAAGCCAGAAGAGAGTTCCACAAGTGAGAAGTGCGATTGAAGAAACTATTAGCATAGAACTTAGGGTTACATCTATCCATTTCAATTGTAAAATGAAAAATTCTCATAAAAGTATTTATAGAAAAGGCAGAGGGAAGCTATGTTATGGTGGTGAAAAATGCGACTGAAGCTGAGATGCCAGGTCAGGGCCAATAACATTGCATATACTTCTTTGGATTTTATCTAGAATCTCTAAATATATAACAGGAGCACCAGACCATATGTGGCAGCAATATTCAAAGCAAGGATGAATGGTTGACTTATAAATATGTAAGGTAAATTCTGGAGAGAAAAATTGTCTAGCCTGATACAGTGAACCAACTTTCCTAGCAGCATAATTACCAGTTGATTCAATATAATCTCTCAACTTCATATCAACAGAAAATTTTAACCCAAGAAGGCTCCAGCAGTTGTCTTCTTGGAGGTTAGCATCAGTCATAATGAGGGAAAACAAAAAGGGTTCTCTCAGATGATTAAAAGAAAGCAGTTTTATTTTGGAGGTATTAAAATTAAAATTAACAAAATCTCCAAAGATTTGCACTGTCAAAAGTATTAAGATGTCATAAAAGATGTCATCAAAGCATGTGCTAAAATTGGAATGAGAGTATTGATGGCACAACAACTTGAATCCTCCATAAAAATTCAGAATAAAGAATTAATAATTTCTAAATACGTCAAATATGATAGCTGTTTATTTATGCTAATAGCTCTATAAATTTTTATCTAATGTTGTTCTATGGGTGATTTACCTGAAAAGGAAATATTTGAAGAATATAATGTGAGTACCTTTTAAATATTCAGTAATCTTAAAAATTTAAGAAAATATTTTCCATACTCTAATGTTTTATTGAATTTTAGATAATTTAGGCTTTAAATTTACAATCATTATCACTTATATTTTCTGATAATGTCATGTATGATCAACTGTATCTACAAAAATCGGTACATTATATATATATATATATATATATATATATATATATATATATATATATATATATACACACACAAAAAAAAAAAAAGTAATTCAAAATTTTTATAAAAATACTCAGGGTTCTCAGATTACAATAAACTTTACTATATATGATCAGTAAATATAGTTTTACTTAATAACAATATTCCCTATAGGTTATCTCATTGAAACTGAATTTTAAAAGATTTAAAAACTTTATAAATTATTTAAACTAAAAAAATTGTATTTAAAAAAGTGAAAACAAATACAAAAAAAAATAATTTTGTGTCTCTTTGTATGTGGATTCAAATATAATATAGCATTGGTGTATAAATTCAAAATATAGAGTGAGTAGGTGGATATTGAAAAATAAACTAAGTTATTAACAGTAAATTTAATAGGGATATTGATCTGTTAATATATATTGAGTCAACAGATAAGATTATTATGAACTAAAAATTTGGTAGTTACCAAATAAAAAGTGTGGGTAGGCAAAAAGAAATATATGTAAAAAATATAAACAGTAATAAAAATAATAAAACATAAAAAATAAAAAAGGAACGCCAGGCTATAATGACTATTAAACGCTAAGATGGTGCAAGGGAGGTAATTAAATATAAAAAATATTAGAGGCAGGTCAGTGGGGGTATTACAGCAGATGTTAGATTAATTGCTTTAACCATCATTGAAATATTTAAGAGAGTTCCTTTTGTGACTGCATGCAATCATAAGCTCACTTTGCTTGTTCAGCAGATTATGATTATTGATAATCATATATACATATATAATATTAGTGGTAAATATACACATACATATGCAAAATATATAAATATATATATACATAGGTGCATACACATACATGTATATTTTTTGAATAAAAATTCCAAGAGGATAGAATCCAGGTAAAACTCAATGTCCAATAAAAATTTATAGGTCTGATGAATTGGATCGTATTTACGATTCCAATGGAATAAATTATGACCATGGGATATTAGTGTTTAAGCCTTTTTATTATATATTTATATATATATACACACACACACAAATTCGTAGGTCTGATCATTTGGATGGTGATTATGATTCTAATATAATAAATTATAACCATGGAATATTAGTGTTTGAGCCTTTTATATTATGTGTATGTGTGTGTGTGTGTGTGAGTATGAATGTACACACACACATATATATATGTGTGTAGGGCTGTTGAAAGTTATTATCCTAATTCCCTTCCTATCAGAATACATCTTTGAAAAATTGGAATGAAAAGAAAAATGGTGAATGTAAAATCTTACCATTAATTTGTTTTAGTGGCTGATTAAGCAATTGCATGAGAGACTGTTGAATAAGGAGGTACTTCTTGACCATTTGGAAACGGGAGATGACTGCTGATGGAAGATGTTGACTGAGCAAGTCATCAAGAATTTTCAAGCGAGAGACAATACTGTATATATAGAAAAGAAAAGAAACATTCAAGCAAAGAAAAGTACATTTGAATGCGGAAAATTATTTTTGTGCAGAAAACACCATAACAAATGTGACTTTATGTATTTATTGGTTACACATCCTGATCTCCCCATTTTAGTAATGAGTTATTTTCTGTATAATAAAAGTCTACAAAGACCAAATCTCAATATACACATGCAGACTCCTTGCAAAATTCTCTCAGCAGGAAAAATCAGTTGCTTTTATAGCAGTTTGTTGGACACTTTACAGTTGGCTATTGATGAAGCATAGAAAAAATTGTTAAAAAGAATTATTCTTACAATCTAAAATATATTTTGGATTTAAATAACTCACAAAGGGTTGATAATCCATAAAAATAATCAACCATTCAATTCATATTTTTTTTCTCATACTGACCTCTTTGTGTCTGATGACAATATTTTTTTGTTATATTTGTCCAATATGTTCAGTAAAAGACTGTTGTTCCTGGGCAGTATTTTCTCCAGGTTCCAGTATAAAACTGGGGGATTGGCTGATAGAGACATCAGATATGCTTGAAACTGTTTCACTTCGGCAACCAGTGCAGTTGAGTTGACAGACATATTGGTGAAAGTATTAGTTGAAATCTAAAAAAAGAAAAGAATGTGGTCAAGTTTGTCTGCTTTAAAACCCGTACAGAAAAGGTACTTAAAATTTGGACATCAAGAGCAATGAGAGTTTAAACCAGAATAAAATACAAAGAAGAATCTGCAATGTTATCGGTCCTGATCTGGCAACTTGGTTTCAGTCACTTTCCCACTGTCATAACGTAGCTTCCCAAGTGCCTGTACTGTAAATATTTTCATGAAAATTGTTGGTACTTGAAATTCATTAATTTTAGATTAAGTGTTAGATTGGCAGTTAGGTCTCATCATCTCAGTTTCTTTTCTTGTATTTCTTGCCTGAGGAACTTTCTTCTGGTTTCTTGATTACCTGTCAACTGCTCTCTTCAAAAATTTAAATGCAATGTCAATTGTCATGTTTTGTTTTTTTTTTGAATCCTGTTCTTTTTATTGTTCTTTCTTCTCAAAAGCAGTTTCTTTCACTTTCAGGAAGCCCTTAAATTGATTTAAGAAAACCAAAACATGAACTGTCAATAGCATATATTCCAGGTGGAGTAAAAGATCTTCTCATAACATGTACCACGAATAAATTTCATTTCAACTAGTGATAAGATAGCTTTGTGTGGCGAATAAAGAAAACAGCAACCAGCGAGTAAATTCAAGCTCCTCTCCCAACTGGTATTCCAATCTAGAGTCGTTCCTTCTTGAGTTCTGTCTCAAAATCACACTAACAGACTGTTCTTGCCACCAACTGTGAACGTCACTCGAAGAACTCCCCCACTGGGAAAAAAGTAGTTGCTTTTATATTTGTCCATATACCCATAATCCCTTGCGTCTTCATGTGATCCCATAATTCATTGCATCCCTGTCCCATAATGCATTGCATCTTTATTGCATAAAAATGCAGTGCAAGTCCCCCGTCATTCTTTTATGTTATCTGGTCGAGGACGGATTGCGGCAGAGCGGTAAGTGCTTTTTTCTCCCTCATTTCAACTGCAGTAGCTTTCCATGCTAAGCAAATACGGGCTCTTTTTTGGCGGGGACAAGGCAAGTCACAACCATTTGTGCTCGTCCCAGGTTCTGTCTCATCACATCTGCCACACTTTGAAAACCAGCAGAGTTTCTATAATAAATCCAATGCCAATGGGCATTAACATTTTCAACATAATGTCCCCTTTTTGAAAATTGCACCTTGTCATCATTTTGTCCTCCACACACTGTTCTTATTTCAACTGGTATTAAACACATTTCCATTTACTTCACTGCTGTTTGCCAGGTGAGTCAGAAGACAAACTGATAAGTTATGTCTCACCATGAAGTTGTCAGGCATTGTTCCTATCTTTTTTGATGTTTTGAGTGTCAAACTAATTCCAATGCCAACCACTCAGGGTTCTTCCACCAACACAAACTGCTCTTCTTTCAAGTTTAGAAAGGCTGCTGGTTTACTGATTCTTTTTTTTTTTTTTTTTTTTTTTTTTTTTTTTACTTCAACAAGAATTGCAGCATTTTATTGGTATCCAATTCATATAAATTTCTGCTTGATTGATCCTGTGAGTGACAAATTTTCCAAGCCCTCTTTCCTCATTATGTACCCTAGAAATTTCATATTTTTCATTTTTTTGTGTCTATATTTCTGAGACGAGGTATTGTAATTATTTACACTATTTATATTATTTGGACTGTTCTCTTCATCGCCATATTCATGACATTTCAGTTGTTGTACATGGCCAGCCTTCTTCAGGTGAATGGAATTTCAAATCGAATCATTTATTTCATCCACCATGGTAGAATGTTCTATAACTTTTCAACTTCAAAATGATAATAATCAACTTCAAAATGGACTTATTTTCAGGTAAAAAATTAATCAACTCCAAGATGGATTAATCAACTTCAAAATGGATCAATACACAAGTTTATTAGGTAGGTTATTCGATGTTTTCCTCTGTGCTTCTTGCCTCTAACATGTACTGAGAGTGTTAAATTTTCCGAGCCCTCTTTTCTCATTATGTGTCGTAGAAATTTCAACTGTCATTTTCTGATTTTCAGTATAAGTGTTGCTTTCATTTCTACTTTCTCTAAAACTTCATCATTCCTCACATGTTCTGTCCATGGCATTCTCAGTATCCTTCTGTAGAACCATATTTCTGTTACCTCAAACCTCCTCTTCATCTTTGAGAAACTGTCCATCATTCACATACACAATACTGGACATCCATACACATAATATATATATATATATATATATATATATATATATATATATATATATATATATATATTAGACATTACATAACATTCCAGTACTCTTTTCATTGTTTCTAATGAAAATTTCTTTTTTTTTTTTCATGCTTGAGTTTGATCCTCACTAGGTGCCCCATAGTAAATACAATTAAATAACCCAGTAAGAGTTGGTATGTTGCAAAAATCAACCAACCCGTTTTCTTGTTTAGGATTGAGTTCCCGTTAACTTCTAAAACCTTTTCATTCTCTTTCACACACAGCAGCCCTTTGCATCTTAGTGGCTTTATCACTTTTGCTTGAGGTGAATTGATTGAAAGAAACAAAAACAAACAAAACCAAACAAAAAAAAAACATCCTAATATTTTCTAATTAACTCTATTTATATATCATTCACAAAAGAATCTAGTCCTGGGTATGATGACAAACTACATCTGACAGCAAGGCCTCTGATCGGGAGATTGAAGGTTTTGAGGAGGGTGGAATCACCTCTTAATTGCCGTTGTTCCCAGCAGGGTCACAGCTATGGGTAAATAGTGAGCCCAACCCCAAACAAAAAACGATGAAAGTATAAGAAAACATTTTAGTAGTAAAAATAACAGCAAAAAATTTTTATATAAAAAAGGCTGCTAAAACATTTTCTCTGAAGTTGAAGGCATGCTATTGAATTCAAAATACATTTAGTTGAAGCCATAAAATTGTGTACAAATTATTGAGATTCACATACATAATGCTGGACATTCATATACATAACATATGCATAGATACAGACATTACATAACAGTCAAGTACTCTTTTTATTGTTTCTAATAAAAATTTCTTGTTTCTTCTGTGCTTAAGTTTTGGACAACATCTTTTGTTATTCCAATGTGCCCTCGAATTCAGTCAGTCAGTTATGTGCCACGTGAGATACACTCATTGGCGATCATATATCTTTTGATACATGACTCACAAGGAAGATTTTTTTCCCCACAGTAGATTGCCATTTCTTTTTGCGGTAGACCAGTTGCCATCCAAGGCTAGAGAACCCGGTCCTGTTATTTACCCATAGCTGGAGGGAGAAAAGGATTCATACCTTTCCGAAGGGTATTAGCACATAAGTGAATGTAATGGATTTGACTGGAATTTGAACTAGACTCTCTGATTCCTCAATCCAAGCTGCTATCCATTACTCCACCATGCCTCCCCATCTTTGGATTAATGTTTCATAAAAATCATACCAGAATAGACTTTATAGTCAGTGTCCATCAGGTGCAGGGCTGATCTGAGTGTTGACCTAGCTGCTGAGTACAGATCCATGTGATCAGCCCAGCTATGCCTGATATGCACACATGTGGGAAGAAACCATATGACATGTAAATAAATATATAAAAACTAACCTGAATAGCCACAAAAACTGTACTTTAGACCAAGACAAAAATGTAAGTGTAGATGTACAAAAGCTATGCAAATGTAATGAATGAATGAGTCATGTTTTTTTTTCATTCATCTACAGAATGATAATAGAAACTGTAATAGAATTGGATACTTACCATTTTATAGAACTTTGAGAAGCCAGGAATTGGAGATATTTGGCTGATAAATGTCTCAAGGGTAACATTTTGTTGAAGAAAAGAACAAAGCATGCTATGAATCTGCTTGATTGCAAATGGAAGTTGGGAAGCACTGACATTACCAAAAAGGGAAGACATCAAAGCACCATTTATTGAGGGGTGACACAGCTGCTTCCATTGGTCAAGGTTCAGCCAAGGTAAGATCTAAAAAGGAAAACAAATTTCATATATATACATTATATATAGCTTCTCCAAGAACTGCTGATTGGATCCTTTCTGGAATAGAGAGTTTTATACCCACCCAAAAATTCCAGCAAAATAAAACAGTTAACTCTGGTTCAGTCATGAATCACTGAAACCCCTACTTCAAATTCTATCGCAAGGAATGATGTAGTTTGGCTCTCACTACATTGAAAACTACTCGCAATTGCTGCAAAAATGTTCGAGAAAGCACCAAGTACAGCTACGTATGAGCAATCCAGACCAAGGTTGAAAAGAAACAAATTGGATCCTGTGAATTCTGGAATATCACCAATCAAATCATGGACAGAGGTAAAGCAGCTGTGCCCACAATTATAAATAACCCCTAGTTCATAGCTTCCTTGACAAATAAAGCAAAACTCTTGCTTCCATCTTTGCCTCTAACTCAACGTGAAATGACAAAGAACATCCCCTCTCTAAGTTCACCCCTCTCACAGAGCATAATCTCAGTAATATCACAATCACAGCACTATCTCTAGACTTATTTGAAGGCCATGGATCTAAGAAAACCACTGATCCAGACAAAATTCCAGTGGTTGTAATTAAGAATATCAACACTGAATTATCTACAATCCTAACAAAGTTATTAAACTGCTGGTTGAAGCATATGTCCAGTTTTCAAGAACATGGGCATGCAATCTTCCTTCTCCTAGTACAGACCCCTCAGTCTCTTCAGTAAGCTTTTTGAGGCCATAATCAATAAGAAGTTTGTCATGCACTTAGAAAAGAACAACCACTTCAGCTACGAGCAGTATGAGTTTTGGTTGACCCAATCCACTGCTGACATCTTAACTATGATTACTCACAGAATCAGTGAGGCTGTTCATGACAAACACACATTGAGGACCATAGAATAACATATATCAAAGGCCTTTGACAAGGTGTACAACAAAGACTTACAAAACAAGCTTTCCAGTTATGAAGTCACTGGAACGGTCTTCTTGATCATAAAGTCATTCGTAAGAGGTAAGTCCCTGCAGGTAATTATTATTGGCCAGTCCTCCTGAGCCCTAAAAGTCATTGCAGGCATCCCCCAGTTGCCACCATGGACCAATCCTCTTTTTGATCTACATAAATGATCTGCCTAAGCATATACTCAGATCATTTGTAAACATCTATGCCGATGATACGACTGTACATGAGTGTACCTCTAAAGTTATTGATTGGCAACTGATCACTATTCTTCAATGAGGTAAAAACTATTCAATGTCTTGAAAACCAAACTAGTTACATTCCATCATTGCCAATCTGACTTCAAACTACCCTCAATCAGAACAAACGGAGGCCTTTTTGTGAAGGTACCATGCCTTGAAACACTGTAGAGCCTCAAACTCACACCTAACCTGAAGTAGAACTCATAGACACAATCCATTACTAAGGATGCAGGTAAAATGGTTGGTGCTCTGTATTGCTCCAGTAAGTAAGTACCTGACTCCTCCTGATATTCTCTACCTTTACAAGAGCCAGATCAGACCAAAAATGGAGGACTCTTGTCATATTTGGGTGGGAGCTGCAAAGACCTCACTCTCCAGCCTTGATTGAGTTCAAACTCATCTCTGAACTCTTATGGGTGATAAATTATTCTCCACCCTCCAACTTCTCTCCCACAGGTGGGATGTGTCAAGTATCTTGCTGCTCTACCGCTACTTCCACCGAAAGTGCTCGGAAGAACTACATTATCAGATCCTGCTGAAGCAAACCTTCATGGCAAGAATATGCCTTCCAACTTACATAGTAGCAAACCATCATATTCCATCTGTATCCATAATAAATTTTTTCCACTTCATTTTGCAAAACCATCTGTATCCATATATATATATATATATTCCACTTGAGCAGACTTCTTCACACAAATGTGGTGTATTTTGTGAACACAACTCACAAAATATATATTTTTATAAAATAATGATATATTTACTTGTAAATATTTGTGATCTAGAGAACATCTATATAATAATGTATAAAATGTATTAATGTATATAATAATGTATAATATATTATATAATAATGTATAAAATCTAAAGAACTTAATATATAATAATAATGTATAAAATATATTAATGTATATAATAATGTATAATATATTATATAATATAATAATGTATATATAATGTATAAAATGTATTAATGTATATAATAATGTATAATATATTATATAATATAATGTATATAATAATGTATAAATATGTATAATATAATATATTATATAATATAATAATGTATATATAATATATATATGTATATAATATATATAATATATAATTATATATAATAATATATATATAATGTATAAAATGTATTAATGTATATAATAATGTATAATATATTATATAATATAATAATGTATATATAATATATAAAATGTATTAATATATAATAATGTATTTATATTATATAATAATAATAATATATATAATAATATATATAATGTATTATGTATATAATAATGTATAATATATTATATAATATATAATAATATATAATAATGTATAAAATGTATTAATGTATATAAAAATATAATATATAAATAATAATGTATATAATAATGTATAAAATAATATATATATAATATGTATAATATACAATATAATAATTTATATATAATATATATGTATATAAATATATATATATATATATATATATATATATAATATATATATAAAATATAATATATATATATATATATATATTATATATATAATAATGTATATAATAATATATAAATATATATTAATATATATAATAATATAATATAATATATAATATAATAATGTATATATATAATATATAAAATGTATATAATAATATATAATAATGTATATTATATAATATAATAATATATATAATAATATATAAAAATATATTAATGTATATAATAATGTATAATATACAATATAATAAATATATAATAATGTATAAAATATATTAATGTATATAATAATGTATAATATATTATATAATAATGTATATAATAATATATAAAGTGTATTAATATATAATAATGTATAATATATTATATAATATAATATATATATAATAATGTATAATATATAATGTATATAATAATATAATATATATATAATATAATAATGTATATAATAATAAATAAAATGTATTAATAATATATAATAATGTATAATATATATATAATATATATAATATAAAATAATAATATAATATATATAATATAATAATAATATATATATATATATAATATATATATAATATATTATATATATATATAATATATAAGTGTAAAATGTATAATAATGTATATAATATATATATAATATAATAATGTATATAATAATAATAAAGTGTATTAATGTATATAATAATGTATATGTATATATATATAATAATGTATATAATAATGTATAAAATAATAATGTATATAATAATGTATAATATATTATATAATATAATAATGTATATAATAATGTATAAAATGTATTAATGTATATAATAATGTATAATATACAATATAATAATGTATATAATAATGTATAAAATGTATTAATGTATATAATAATGTAAATATATTATATAATATAATAATATATAATAATGTATAAAGTGTATTAATGTATATAATAATGTATAATATATTATATAATATAATAAATGTATATAATAATAAATAAAATGTATTAAATATATAATAATGTATAATATATATAAAATATAATAATGTATATAATAATGTAAAAAAATGTATTAATGTATATAATAATTATTATACAATATAATAATGTATAAAATAATGTATAAAATGTATTAATGTATATAATAATGTATAATATATTATATAATATAATAATGCATAAAATAAAAAATTCTGAAAAAAAAAAAAACTTATTTCTGCTGATTATTTTGAGAGATATTTTTTCTTTTGTTAAACGTTGAAAGTATAGTAGTTTGCCAATTATAAATCTAAATTTTTCTAGGTTAGAATGCCCACTACAGTGACTTTTGAATGTTGTAGTAAAAAGAACAAAGATGAAGATGCTAGTCCAAAAGAATCATTAAATGGTAACAAAATCTGGTCTCAGAAGTTCACAAAATGCATCTGTTGATTAAATTAAAACCCACTGCAATGGTACTTACCCTTTGAGGGTTTTGGAGAATTTTCATTGCCAATTTCAAGAATATTTCGACTGAATCTGGTGACACTTGGAGAAGTGAAAGGATTTGCACCATTTCTGCAGAGTTGGCCATGTCCAAAATGTTTATATGTTGATTTTCTAAAAAACAGAAGTTGAAAACAATAAATAAATTTTAAATAACAAATTTATATATTCAGGCTGGTAGATGAGAATAAATAGAGTGTCTAATATTGGTCAAACACATGTCGCATACATTAAAACTATAGATAATTCTCCACTATACTAGCTTGACTGCACAAAAGTGAAGGCATCAAAACTCCCACTAGATAGACACACATACACAATTACACATGACTATTCAATGCCCTCTTAGACATACAAGAATCTTTACAAACTTACATACATATAAAAATTTCTATGGTTTTAATGCATGTGACATGTATCTAACCAATGAGAACTGACCCAAAGAAAACTGAAAATACTAGTGTTTCTGTCTTTTTGTCCATTTTCTCTCAATCTCTGACGAAGCTTTAATAAAAGTGGAACATGTTAGATTGATATACGTTTCCTATTTGTTCTTTATTTTATCATCCTATTTGATTCCAATCTGCATTTGATCTTTAACTCATATATTTAGTGTATTTAGGCAGCAATCCTTCATTTATGCATGTTTCATTGAAAATGACAGACAAGGTACTACAGTTACGCTTTTTATTTAATTTTTCTTGTGTTTGCACAAGAGCTTTCTTTTTTCGATACAGAGTATGTAGAAACAGTCCAAATGTTTTATAGTTCCATGCGCTTTCGGCTATACTTTTAGCCATTATCAAGGATGATTTTATTTTTTCAGTTTGAGTGTGAGCATTATGTGCATGCTTTTAGTGTATTATAGAGGTGTCTTTATTTTCTGAACATGTTTAGCATATTGTGGCCTAGCAATTCAAGTTCCGCACCAGACATTCACACAGAGCCCTCAGAAATCAAAAATTATTGATATGTTATTACTGATATGTTTGTACATGTGCACATTTTGTACAGCTACTTTTGCTTGCCCCTGTATTTTGCATTGTACTTCATAAGAAAGAAAGAAAAAAGAAAACACTTACGTGAAACATTCTTCAGGATAGGGTTAATAAGTTCCATGAGTGAGTGCAAGATGACAAGGTTTTGATTGACATGAATCAATTGCGTGGTGATACCTGTTGGCAGCATCTCTTTGTTCAAGCCAGTGATAAGTTTTATCAAGTCCTGTGAGAATGGAAGCCTTAAAGAAACAAAAAGACAATTTTTAAGTTCTATATTTTACAAATAACCAATCCTTAATCTCAAAGAAAAAATATCAAAACCTTTCAACTGAGAAGAATTTATTTAATTTCGTCTTAATTATTTGAGTAGCATTTCATGCTATCTTTATTCAGGTCATCAATCTACATCAGTATTTCCCAAAATTGTTTTCTCTGGGCTGGAATGAAAATTTGCTTGTACTTCACCAAATTTTAGGTGATAAAAACTACAGTGCTGTTCGATAAAAGTCACTCACCTGATTTGTTTTACTAAATGTTCTCTTCTCTGATGAAACGAAAGTTGAGCTAAATTCAAAGGATAAGTGATCTAAAATCCGAAGAAGAATCTTTGAAAGCTCTTTGAATTTAGCAGTAAGTACTGTCAACCACCTGTTCAATATAATGTTCTGGGTGATGCTTTTCTTTTCATGGAATTGGTTTCTTAAAACCTATTGAAAAGACCCTCAGGTGCAAGCAGTACAAGAGAATATTAGAGTCTTGTCTGCTCCGTTCTGCTGAAAGGGTGCAAATTGACCACACCAAGCTCATTTTTATGCAGGATAATGCTCCATGTCACAAATCAAAATTGATGAAGGAATACTTTGATGAAAAGCAGGTGAGTGTTATGATATGGGTGCCCCAATCTCCAGACCTCAACCACATAGAAAACTTATGCAAGAGGCGTGATGAGACAGACAGGGCCAAAAAGAGGTGTGACAAAGCAGACAAGGCTACAAAGAACATGGCGAGACAGACAGAGGGCCACAAAGAGGTGTGGCGAGGCAGACAGAGGGCCACAAAGAGGTGTGGAGAGGCAGACAGAGGGCCACAAAGAGGTGTGGCAAGGCAGACAGAGGACCACAAAGAGGTGTGGAGAGGCCTATAAGGCTGCAAAGAGGTGTTAAGAGGCATTTTTTGTTTGCTTTTCTGTGTTTCTAGCAAGTCTTTGTCTTTCTTTTTATTTTTATTACTTCAATCTTCCATGTTTCAGAGACAAAAAATGAAAACCAAGGCATAATTAAAATGAAGATAAAGTAAATAACTAAAATCAAGAATTTATTTTCATACCAATCTTAAAGAAATTCTTACCTTTCATCCAAATAGTACAACTGAATAATTTTCAAGAACATGTTTATTTTTCCTTGGTAAAGTGAGACATTCATCCAACTGTTATCAGTTCCAATCACTAATTGGGGAGGATTCATAATTAATGAATCAATTAAACTCAGATATTTGGCCTGATTCAAGAAAATCTTTGTGAAATTGATCTTCACTGCATCCAATGGAAAACTGGCATTGTATAATTGATCAATCTGCAAGACAAAAGATACGAGTCAAACTTTAATTCATTATTCACTTTTAAATCCAATTCTCAATTTAAAGTGCTTGAGAAATGAACTTTAATGAAATAAGAATGATTGGAAAAATGTGGCAGGAATGATAACTCACTAAGGTGATATATCTTTGGAATCCGTGAATCTTTGAAAGAGTTTCCATCCAGGGTCTGTTGAAGAATTCTTGGAAAGATACACTGGCACAGACTTTAGCTTGGAACTGGGCTGCTCTACTTAGAAAAACATCAGTTGCAAATATTTGACTGAATACTGCACTATTGTTGCATACCTGATCCCATTTGACCGTGCTTAACAGCTTTTCAGCCTTCAATGAAAAAACAAAATCATTATTACAAGAAAAATATGAATGTTTATGAAAATCTTTTCTTGAGTTCTAATGGAATGAAAGATTATTTCTCTTTGCCATATTTTTATCTGTTGATTGGAATGTCATAGTTTTGGTTTACAATTTGTGGCCATGAAATAAGAACTGGTTAAGTTTTCATGTTTATCTGATTTAAGAAGAGGGATGAAAAATATAATAAAACTGTTTTACAATATTGATTTATATGTTATGTGCCTTCTAATTGTCTATGTTATATCCTTTCGACCATGAAATATCAGTCATGACATTCTGCTAAAAGACAACATTTATATATTATAACTTCAGTAAACTAATTCAGCAGTTTGAAACTTATTTCTATAGGCATATATTCTGTTTTGTAAAATATCTTTGTCTATGTTGTCATTTGTGCAGATAATTTATTGACATTTTCATTGTTAACAAAGAATTCTAACCATTTTATTTATCATTTTTTTATATTATTATTCATGCTTTCTCTATCCAGTACTTTTCAAAATGGTCAAGAGATTATTTCTCATTGCAACAATTGTATCTTGATTGGAGTTCCATGGTGTTCGTCTACAATTGCAATCAATGATAAAAGGAATTCTCTAAAAATATTACAAATCCATTAGTGACAGTGAAATATGAAGTCAAACATTATTTAAAAGTGAGGCTGTTCAGGAAAATAGGCAAAGCTTTAATGGGAAGAAGTATTTTTCAGATTGGTAGAATCAAGTGATGAATGTAGTTCATCTGAATAAAAGATGTCACATGTGTTGCTGTCTAGCATTTGCCAATGATCTTCCTCCCATGATATATGCATAGTGACACATTTTGTTAAGAGACTACATTTTTAAAGTATATAATCTGAAAACTACTTGAGCATTTTAAAATTTATATAGGCATGTATTCTATTTGGTAAAATAGCATTGTCAACAATGTTGTTAATTCATTTATTGCTGTTTCCATTGTGGGCAGAGATTTCAATTATTTATTATTTTTCTAGCTTTTTCTATTCAGTAGACTCCAAAAGTAACAGGAAACATCTTACCTCTTGTGGTTTTTGGTTCCAACGCAGAATCGTATTTAGGAAAACACTGACAACATCTGGACTTTCCTCAAGCAATGCAATCAATTTCTTGATATCTTCTGAATTCAGAAAATCCTGCAATACAAACTTCTTTGTAGCTGGAAATAATAAAAGCAAAAAAGCTTTTACTAAACATCAATAATGGACATTGTGAGATTTATGTTATTCTGAATTTTAAAAAATATATCATTTATTGAAAATAGATCATTGGGTTGATTAAATTGTTTCTATTGAAACAGATCATTTCAAACATAATCATGCTTACCACTGATTTTTTCCAAATGGAAATTGATGAATGTGTACCAATAGCTTTCCATTAGGAGTTGGCGTTTCATTTCTGCCAATACAGGATCAACTTGTGCAGGTATCTCGCTGAATGCCAAATTCAAAGATTCTCCAATTGTTGCCAAAATAGTTGATAGACTACAATTAAAGAAAATAAATAATATTAGCTTCCTTGAAGTATTTCCATTTTGGAGCAGCTTCATTTAGTTTTCAATAATAGTTTTCCATCAAGAAAATTTCTTAGAGTCATGTAACATTCTCTAGATGATTTCCATTTCAGAGCAACTGACCTTGACTTTCAATAAATGTTTCCCTTCAACAATGTTTCTTAATTTTAATATTTTACTTCTTCCAAAAAGGATATTCTTAAATCTCCAAAGACATTAATTTACAAAATAAGAGTTACTTCCTTTCAAACAGGAATAAATCTTGTCTTTCTAAATTCGTTTGACAAACAACTCATTCAATTCAAGGTGATGAAAAGTCAATTTTAGAAGGCAATATAAAAAGAAAAGAGTAAATATTAATTGTTTACCTGGCATTTTCCAAACTCCTCTGTTCATTTTCAAAGGCTGCAAGAAACATTTTGATGTCTTTCATATATGAAGAGACATTCATCCAACTGTTATCAGTTCCAATCACTAATTGGGGAGGATTCATAATTAATGAATCAATTAAACTCAGATATTTGGCCTGATTCAAGAAAATCTTTGTGAAATTGATCTTCACTGCATCCAATGGAAAACTGGCATTGTATAATTGATCAACCTGCAAAACAAATGATACAAATCAAACTTTCATTCATTATTCACTTGTTAAATCCAATTATCAATTTAAAATGCTTGAGAAATGAACTTTAATGAAAGAAGAATGATTGGAAAAATGTGGCAGGAATGATAACTCACTAAGGTGATATATCTTTGGAATCCGTGAATCTTTGAAAGAGTTTCCATCCATGGTCTGTTGAAGAATTCTTGGAAAGATACACTGGCACAGACTTTAGCTTGGAACTGGGCTGCTCTACTTCCCAAAACATCAGTTGCAAATATTTGACTGAATACTGCACTATTGTTGCATACCTGATCCCATTTGACTGTACTTAACAGCTTTTCGACCTGCAATGTAAAAACGAAATCTTTATTAACAGAAAAATATGAAGCTTTTTAAAAATCTTTTCTTGAGTTATGATAGAATTAAAGATTATTTCTCATTGTCATATTTTTATCTGTTGATTGGAATGTCATGGTGTTGGTCTACAATTTGTGGCCATGAAATAAGTCCTGGTTAAGTCCTTATGGGGCGACGTATTTATCTGATTGAAGAAGAGGGATGAAAAATATAATAAAACTGTTTTATCATATTGTTTTAAATGTCATGTGCCTTGTAATTGTCTATGTTATATCCTTTCCACCATGAAATATCCGTCATGACATTCTGCTAAAATGCAACATTTATAAAGTAAAACTTCACTCAACTAATTCAGCAGTTTGAAACTTATTTCTATAGGCATATATTCTGTTCTGTAAAATATCTTTGTCGATGTCATCATTTCTGTGGATAATTCATTGCCATTTTCATTGTTGCCAAAGAAATTAAACCATTTTATTTATTATTTTTTGTATTTTTTTCCCTTTTATTTTCCATCCGGTATTTACGAAATGGTCAAGAGTTTTTTTTTCACTATATGTAATATGATTTACATGGCTCGTGTTCATGATGTTTCAGCCCTTGTACGTTCCGGCCTTTTTCACGTGATTGGAATTTGCAATTGAACCCTTTGTTTCAACCTTTTTTGAATTTTCTTCATATTTATGATCTATCTATATGGTGCATACAGATCCTTCAAAATCCATGTATATTTTCTAAGATGAGGTATCATAATTATTTCCATTGTTCGGAGAGTTGTCCTCATATTTATTGTGAGTTGAAGTTCCAAGCACCTCAAAAAAGCTGGAGTGTACAACGGTCAAAATGTCACTACCATGAAAATAAAGATCAGAGCAACATTCTAAATAATGTAAATAATTAAAATATCTCATCTCAGAAATATATACCAATAATGTAATAAAATATTTATCAGATGTCATTAACATTTTAACAATTCAGTCCCCAATCAGATCAGTAAAATATAATGATCAAAGAATATCAAGAAATATCTTACCTCTTGTGGTTTTTGGTTCCAACGTAGAATCGTATTTAGGAAAACACTGACAACATCAGGACTTTCCTCAAGCAATGCAATCAGTTTCTTGATATCTTGTGAATTCAGAAAATCCTGCAATACAAACTTCTTTGTGGCTGGAAAGAAAAAAAGATTTCGTTAAAAATGAAGAATGGATAATGAGAGAAATATTTCAAGTCAATTATTAAAATGAATATCAATCATTTCTTGAGAACGGATCAGGGACTTGATAAAATTATTTGTGTGGAAATCATTTATTTCAAGTCAGAGAAGTGTTTGACAAAATAGATAATGTTGTGTGTGATGTTTTTTTTATTTTTTAGGATTTCATCTGAAAATGTTTTTCTTGATTGAATTATATTTGTTTAGGAAGGAAAAGGTAGAAGGTAAAAATACAAATATCACTTGTAATTGTGCAAAACAAGAAACATTAATCATGTTGGAAGATTGGAATTTGAAACTTTTCATTTGTTTTTAGATGTGTCTTAGATGTTCATGTAATTCACGTAATTCTAATATATAAAAATTTACATATATTTAGTGCCTGTTATTACAAGTATTATTATTCTTACCACTGATTTTTTCCAAATGGAAATTGATGAATGTGTACCAATAGCTTTCCATTAGGAGTTGGCGTTTCATTTCTGACAATACAGGATCAACACCTGCAGGTATGTCGCTGAATGCCATATTCAAAGATTCTCCAATTGTTGCCAAAATAGTTGATAGACTACAATTAAAGAAAATAAATAATATTAGTTCCCTTGAATCATTTCCATTTTGGAGCAACTTCATTTATATATATATATATATATATATATATATATATATATATACACACACACATATATTATTATGCCTCTTGATTACTTGGAGACCATAGGGCCAGAACCACACCTCTCCAATGGACATGGCTCCGGCTAATCTTTGTCAATTCAGACCATGTCATGCCGGCTGCCTTCACCTTTATGTCAACAATTCTAGGCCAAGCATGTGCTGGTCGAGCACCTTTTCAATTCCCTTGCGGTGTGTCCCCCCGATCCATCCCCATTTCCGGTTTTTGATGTCATTCTCGCCTGGGGTTTGTCTGTCCTGTTCCACAGTTGGCTGTTGAAGACGAGTCATGGCCACCTAGTTCTCAACTATTGTTTTCATTCAACAAGATTTCTTAGAAAAATATCAGATTCTATAGACGATTTCCATTTCAGAGCAACTGAACTTGGCTTTCAATAAATGTTTTCCTTCAACAATGTTTCTTAATTTTAATATTTTACTTCTTCCAAAAAGGATATTCTTAAATCTCCAAAGACATTAATTTACAAAAGTAAGAGTTAGTTCCTTTCAAACAGCAATAAATCTAGACTTTCTAAATCCTTTTGACAAACAATACATTCAAGATGATGAAAAGTCAATTTTAGAAGGCAATATAAAAAGAAAAGAGTAAATATTAATTGTTTACCTGGCATTTTCCAAACTCATCTGTTCATTTTCAAAGGCCGCAATAAACATTTTAATGTCTTTCATATACGAAGAGACATTCATCCAACTGTTATCAGTTCCAATCACTAATTGGGGAGGATTCATAATTAATGAATCAATTAAACTCTGATATTTGGCCGAATTCAAGAAAATCTTTGTGAAATTGATCTTTACTGCATCCAATGGAAAACTGGCATTGTATAATTGATCAACCTGCAAGACAAATGATACAAATCAAACTTTCATTCATTATCCACTTGTTAAATCCAATTATCAATTTAAAATTCTTGAGAAATGAACTTTAATGAAAGGAGAATGATTGGAAATATGTGGCAGGAATGATAACTCACTAAGGTGATATATCTTTGGAATCCGTGAATCTTTGAAAGAGTTTCCATCCATGGTCTGTTGAAGAATTCTTGGAAAGATACACTGGCACAGACTTTAGCTTGGAACTGGGCTGCTCTACTTCCCAAAACATCAGTTGCAAATATTTGACTGAATACTGCACTATTGTTGCATACCTGATCCCATTTGACTGTACTTAACAGCTTTTCGACCTGCAATATAAAAACAAAATCATTATTAACAGAAAAATATGAAGCTTTTTAAAAATCTTTTCTTGAGTTATGATGGAATTAAAGATTATTTCTCTTTGCCATATTTTTATCTGTTGATTGGAATGTCATGGTGTTGGTCTACAATTTGTGGCCATGAAATAAGTCCTGGTTAAGACCTTATGGGGCGACGTATTTATCTGATTGAAGAAGAGGGATGAAAAATATAATAAAACTGTTTTATCATATTGTTTTAAATGTCATGTGCCTTGTAATTGTCTATGTTATATCCTTTCCACCATGAAATATCCGTCATGACATTCTGCTAAAATGCAACATTTATAAAGTAAAACTTCACTCAACTAATTCAGCAGTTTGAAACTTATTTCTATAGGCATATATTCTGTTCTGTAAAATATCTTTGTCGATGTCATCATTTCTGTGGATAATTCATTGCCATTTTCATTGTTGCCAAAGAAATTAAACCATTTTATTTATTATTTTTGTATTTTTTCCTTTTATTTTCCATCCGGTATTTACGAAATGGTCAAGAGTTTTTTTTTCACTATATGTAATATGATTTACATGGCTCGTGTTCATGATGTTTCAGCCATTGTATGCTCCGGCCTTTTTCACGTGATTGAAATTTGCAATTGAACCCTTTGTTTCAACCTTTTTTGAATTTTCTTCATATTTATGATCTATCTATATGGTGCATACAGATCCTTCAAAATCCATGTATATTTTCTAAGATGAGGTATCATAATTATTTCCATTGTTCGGAGAGTTGTCCTCATATTTATTGTGACAGTTGAAGTTCCAAGCACCTCAAAAAAGCTGGAGTGTACAACGGTCAAAATGTCACTACCACGAAAATAAAGATCAGAGCAACATTCTAAAGAATGTAAATAATTACAATATCTCATCTCAGAAATATAGACCGATAATGTAATAAAATATTTATCAGATGTGATTAACATTTTAACAATTCAGTCCCCAATCAGATCAGTAAAATATAATGATAAAAAGAACATCAAGAAATATTTTACCTCTTGTGGTTTTGGTTCCAACGTAGAATCGTATTTAGGGAAAACACTGACAACATCAGGACTTTCCTCAAGCAATGCAATCAGTTTCTTGATATCTTCTGAATTCAGAAAATCCTGCAATACAAACTTCTTTGTGGCTGGAAAGAAAAAAAAGATTTTGATAAAAATGAAGAATGGATAATGAAAGAAATCTTTCAAGTTAATTTTTAAAATTATATCAATCATTTCTTGAGAATGGATCAGGGCTTGCTTAAATTATTTTGTGGAAATCATTTATTTCAAGTCAGAGAAGTGTTTGACAAAATAGATAATGTTGTGTGTGATGTTTTTTTTATTTTTAGGATTTCATCTGAAAATGTTTTTCTTGATTGAATTATATTTGTTTAGGAAGGAAAGGTGGAAGGTAAAAAATACAAATATCATTTGTAATTGTGCAAAAACAAGAAACATTAATCATGTTGGAAGATTGGAATTTGAAACTTTTCATTTGTTTTAGAGGTGTCTTAGATGTTCATGTAATTCACGTAATTCTAATATATAAAATTTACATATATTTAGTGCCTGTTATTACAAGTATTATTATTCTTACCACTGATTTTTTTCCAAATGGAAATTGATGAATGTGTACCAATAGCTTTCCATTAGGAGTTGGCGTTTCATTTCTGACAAAACAGGATCAACCGTTGCTGGTATCTCGCTGAATGCCATATTCAAAGATTCTCCAATTGTTGCCAAAATAGTTGATAGACTACAATTAAAGAAAATAAATAATATTAGTTTCCTTGAATCATTTCCATTTTGGAGCAACTTCATTTATATATATATATATATATATATATATATATATATATATATATATATATATATATACACACACACACACACATATATTATTATGCCTCTTGATTACTTGGAGACCATAGGGCCAGAACCACACCTCTCCAATGGACATGGCTCCGGCTAATCTTTTGTCAATTCAGACCATGTCATGCCGGCTGCCTTCACCTTTTATGTCAACAATTCTAGGCCAAGCATGTGCTGGTCGAGCACCTTTTCAATTCCCTTGCGGTGTGTCCCCCCGATCCATCCCCATTTCCGGTTTTTGATATCATTCTCGCCTGGGGTTTGTCTGGTCCTGTTCCACAGTTGGCTGTTGAAGACGAGTCATGGCCACCTAGTTCTCAACGATTGTTTTCATTCAACAAGATTTCTAAGAAAAATATCAGATTCCATAGACGATTTCCATTTCAGAGCAACTGAACTTGGCTTTCAATAAATGTTTTCCTTCAACAATGTTTCTTAATTTTAATATTTTACTTCTTCCAAAAAGGATATTCTTAAATCTCCAAAGACATTAATTTACAAAAGTAAGATTTAGTTCCTTTCAAGCAGCAATAAATCTAGACTTTCTAAATCCTTTTGACAAACAATACATTCAAGATGATGAAAAGTCAATTTAAGAAGGCAATGTAAAAAGAAGAGCGTAAATATTAATTGTTTACCTGGCATTTTCCAAACTCATCTGTTCATTTTCAAAGGCCGCAATAAACATTTTAATGTCTTTCATATACGAAGAGACATTCATCCAACTGTTATCAGTTCCAATCACTAATTGGGGAGGATTCATAATTAATGAATCAATTAAACTCTGATATTTGGCCGAATTCAAGAAAATCTCTGTGAAATTGATCTTCACTGCATCCAATGGAAAACTGGCATTGTATAATTGATCAACCTGCAAGACAAATGATACAAATCTAACTTTCATTCATTATTCACTTTTAAATCCAATTCTCAATTTAAAATGCTTGATAAATGAACTTTAATGAAATAAGAATGATTGGAAAAATGTGGCTAGATTGATAACTCACTAAGGTGATATATCTTTGGAATCCGTGAATCTTTGAAAGAATTTCCATCCATGGTCTGTTGAAGAATTCTTGGAAAGATACACTGGCACAGACTTTAGCTTGGAACTGGCCTGCTCTACTTCCCAAAACATTAGTTGCAAATATTTGACTGAATACTGCACTATTGTTGCATACCTGGTCCCATTTGACCGTGCTTAACAGCTTTTCAGCCTTCAATGAAAAAACAAAATCATTATTACAAGAAAAATATGAATGTTTATGAAAATCTTTTCTTGAGTTCTAATGGAATGAAAGATTATTTCTCTTTGCCATATTTTTATGTGTTGATTGGAATGTCATGCTGTTGGTCTACAATTTGTAGCCATAAAATATGACCTGGTTAAGTCCTTATGGGGAGATGTATTTATCTGATTGAAGAGCAGGGATGAAAAATATAATAAAACTGTTTTACCATATTGATTTATATGTTATGTGCCTTCTAATTGTCTATGTTATATCCTTTCCCCCATGAAATATCTGTCATGACATTCTGCTAAAATGCAATATTTATAAAGTAAAACTTCACTCAACTAATTCAGCAGTTTGAAACTTATTTCTATAGGCATATATTGTGTTTTGTGAAATATCTTTGTCGATGTCATCATTTGTGTGAATAATTCATTGCCATTTTCATTGTTGCCAATGAAATCAGACCATTTTATTTATTATTTTTTCTATTTTTTTCCCTTTTATTTTCCATCCGGTATTTATGAAATGGTCAAGAGTTTTTTTTTCACTATATGTAATATGATTTACATGGCTTGTGTTCATGATGTTTCAGCCATTGTATGTTCCGGCCTTTTTCACGTGATTGGAATTTGCAATTGAACCCTTTGTTTCAACCTTTTTTGAATTTTCTTCATATTTCTGATCTATCTATATGGTGCATACAGATCCTTCAAAATCCATGTATATTTTCTAAGATGAGGTATCATAATTATTTCCATTGTTCGGAGAGTTGTCCTCATATTTATTGTGACAGTTGAAGTTCCAAGCACCTCAAAAAAGCTGGAGTGTACAATGGTCAAAATGTCACTACCATGAAAATAAAGATCAGAGCAACATTCTAAATAATGTAAATAATTACAATATCTCATCTCAGAAATATAGACCGATAATGTAATAAAATATTTATCAGATGTGATTAACATTTCAACAATTCAGTCCCCAATCAGATCAGTAAAATATAATGATAAAAAGAATATCAAGAAATATTTTACCTCTTGTGGTTTTGGTTCCAACGTAGAATCGTATTTAGGAAAACACTGACAACATCAGGACTTTCCTCAAGCAATGCAACCAATTTCTTGATATCTTCTGAATTCAGAAAATCCTGCAATACAAACTTCTTTGTGGCTGGAAAGAAAAAAAATTTTAAAAAAAAAAGAAGAATGGATAATGAAAGAAATCTTTCAAGTTAATTTTTAAATTATATCAATCATTTCTTGAGAATGGATCAGGGCTTGATTAAATTATTTTGTGGAAATCATTTATTTCAAGTCAGAGAAGTGTTTGACAAAATAGATAATGTTGTGTGTGATGTTTTTTTTTATTTTTAGGATTTCATCTGAAAATGTTTTTCTTGATTGAATTATATTTGTTTAGGAAGGAAAGGTGGAAGGTAAAAAATACAAATATCACTTGTAATTGTGCAAAACAAGAAACATTAATCATGTTGGAAGACTGGAATTTGAAACATTTCATTTGTTTTTAGAGGTGTCTTAGATGTTCATGTAATTCACGTAATTCTAATATATAAAAATTTACATATATTTAGTGCCTGTTATTTCAAGTATTATTATTCTTACCACTGATTTTTTCCAAAATGGAAATTGATGAATGTGTACCAATAGCTTTCCATTAGGAGTTGGCGTTTCATTTCTGACAAACAGGATCAACCGTTGCTGGTATCTCGCTGAATGCCATATTCAAAGATTCTCCAATTGTTGCCAAAATAGTTGGTAGACTACAATTAAAGAAAATAAACAATATTAGCTTCCTTGAATGACTTCCAGTTAGAGAAAATAGAGAAATATTAGATCTCTTAGATTATTTCAATTTTGCAGCAATTAAATTCAATTTTTCAATAAATGTATTCTATCAACAGAATTTCTGTTGTGTCATAGATAGGAAAGTTTTACACACACATAGAAAATAAGAAGTAGTTTATTTTGGACAATAATATGGCACATGATTGAGAACACAGACTAATGTAAAAAACAGTTAATTATTAACGCCTCTCACTCAGTAAGAGAGAGTGCTGTTTAAATAAACTTAGACCAGTCTTTCTTGTGGTGGTTTTCAGCTACTCCACAACATCCCTATTTTTTGAATTGACTCCATCCTCTTGAAGACATACTGTTTCTCTTTTGGGTTTATTCCTTTAGCCCATGTAAATTTCCTTTTCCTTTACTTGAATGTTTCTTCTCAGGGTCTATTAAGGGAATAAGAACGTCAAATAAGTCATAAATAACCTTCATCAGTTCTTCCTTCTGGTTATTTATATACTCCAAATAGCTATTCCTCATCTGGCTGTGATGTCTCTTAATGGTGTCTTTTTAGGTCTTTAATTATATACATTAATCTCCCAATGTGTTTATCAATGATACCAGCATTCCAAATTTCTTTCCTGTTTCTATACTTTTTGAAAAAAAATTTTATTCTTGGTTTATAGGATTTTGTATCCGTTTTTTCCGTATTGGTTTTTTATTTCCCTTTGGTATCAGTTTATTTTACTATTTTTTCATGAACATTAACTCTACAGGTGACAATCCTGAATTAGTACTTGAGTTTGGTGATATATGATATACCCTTAAAAATTGTAGGATATGGTCAATGGATTCATTTGCATCTGACTTTTTTTTAATGCTCACTTGAAATCTTTCTGCTTGCTCATTAGATCACAGGTAATATGGTGCAGTAATGAGGCGTTCAATAGAAAAAAAATATTTACAAAAGTCTTTGAACTCTTTTGCTGTGAATTGTGTTCCATTGTCCGATACAATCACATCTGGGATACCAGATCCGGTAAAGATTTCATGCAAAAATTTAATTGTATCATTTCACATAGGTTTTTTTTTGTTTCCATCTGACTTTTTTTAATGCTCATTTGTTAGTGTCTATAAATTTTTTTGCCTGCTCATTAGATCAGAAGTGATATGGTTTGGTAGTGATGTGTTTAATTGAAAAAACTTTATGAAAGTCATTGAACTCTTTTGCTGTGAATTTTGTGCGATCTTCCGACATAATCATATCCATGATACTGGATCTGGTAAACAGTTCATGCAAAAATTTAATTGTATCATTGCACATAGGGTTTTTACATTTCTCTGGCCATTTCAAGAAATTGTCAACCACAATTAAATAATATTGTCTCTTTATTGGACCTGCAAAATATTTATGCAACCTTGCTCAAGGTCTGTCCATCTTTGGCCAAGGGGTAAATTTCACTGGTTGGGACTCTGTTGCCATTGCACAACATCTGCATGATTTTATATTTTTTCTATTTCTTTTTCACAGATAGAAAAAGTCTTTTGACAATCAGACATTTGGTTTTTTTTGTTACTGTTAGTCCATAATTTGTTTCTTTTTCTCTGAGATATATTTGTCTATTTTTGCTTTGATCTCCTCAAGCATCATAAGTAATTCCCATATGATGTTTCACAGAACACATTTTATTTTCATTTCTATTCTTAGGGCTGCTATCACAGTTTCCTTAAATAGGTCACATAATTTGGTGATTAATCCACATGCCCTAACCTCTGTCATGGAACGAACTCTGTCTTAAAATTATAATTTAATAATATTGTTCCCCATCTTTGAAATTAATTTGCAGTATGTGTAGGAATTCCTTTTGTGGAACCAAAAATAGAGAATATCAGTCTGTGGTCAATTTGAAGCATAAAAATAGACAATATCAGTCTGTGGTCTGTTTGAAGCATAAAAATAGACAATATCAGTGTGGTCTGTTTGAAGCATAAAAATAGACAATATCAATCTGTGGTCTGTTTGAAGCATAAAACTTCTTCCATGAATGAACTATGGAACTTTTTTACCACCAAAATTATCCCTAAAGCCTCTTTTTTGACTTGGTTGTACTCTTTTTCTGCTGACAATAGAGTGCTGTTTAAATAATCTTAGACCAGTGCATCTTGTGGAGGTGTTCAGCTACTCCAGAACAGTTTTAATATTTTCAGAGGAGGTATGGTAAAGGGATTGCAGCTAGGATTAATGAATCAGAGAACTGAGTTCAAATTCCAGCCGAGTTGATTTCATCCACTTACATGCTAATACCCTTGGGAAAAGTATGAATCCAACTCTCCCACCACCTATTGGTAAATAGTAGGACAGACAGGTTTCTATCGCCTTGGATGGCAACCAGTCTAGACGAAGGAAAACTCTGAATTCAAAACTGTATGTAGCCCTGGTACGGTAGATTCTTAATATTTAAATTTTTCCAAACAGGATATTCTCAGATCTCCAATGACATTAATTTACAAAGGAAGAATGGAGTTATTTTCAAATAGGAATAAATGTTATTTACAGTATTTATATAACTTGGACTATTGTCCTCATCTTTATTGCCATATTCACAACTTTTCAACCGTTGTACACTCTGGCCTTCTTCAGGTGAAATATGTTGATATTTCAAACCAAAACCTTTATTTTGTCTACCAGACTGTGTTGGAATGTGTCACGAAAAAATAAATGATTTCGTCTCTTTCTCTCCTGCTGTCGTAGCGACGGACACAGTCTCCACTACTGAGACTGAAAACTGCTCTCCTTCTCATTCCAGCCCTTTACATAGAGCTTGATAACTCACCTATGCAAAATACCAACAAGACAGCTACCAATCACAGTTCTCGCGCCTGCCCACCTCCACTCGCTTTGGGGGTGTCAAGTTGACCGACCAACTCATTACAGTGAAGTATGTTGATATTTCAAACCAAAACCTTTATTTTGTCTACCAGATAATCTCCCCCAGTGGACAAAATAAAGAGTTCAACATATATCACTTGAAGAAGGCCATAGTGTACAACGTCCCAAATGTTGTGAATAGGACAATAAAGATGAGGACAACTGTTCAATGTAAATAGTGTCAATAATTACAACACGTTGTCTCAGAAGTATAGACCAAGGAATAAATGTTGAGTTCCTAAATTCTTTTGTCAAACAGTTTGTTGGTGAAACTGAAGATGATGAAAAGTACATTTTACTAAGCAACGTAAAAAAAAATAAAAGATGAGAAACTGTTTATTGTTTACCTGGCATTTGTCCAACTCATCTGTTCATTTTCAAAGACTGCGAGAAACATTTTGATGTCTTTCATATATGAAGAGACATTCATCCAACTGTTATCAGTTCCAATCACTAATTGGGGAGGATTCATAATTAATGAATCAATTAAACTGATATATATATATATATATATATATATGTCTCTGGATTACTTGGAGAACATAGGGCCTCAACAACATCTCTCGATTGGACATGGTTCCAGGCAATCTTCTTCAACTCAGACCATGTCATGCCAGCTGCCTTCACCTTTGCGTCAACACTGAGGCCAAGTATGTTTTGGTCGAGCAACTTTTCAATTGCCTTGCAGTGTGTGTAGCTGATTCATTCCAATTTCCCTTTTTGATGTCAATCTCATTTCGGGTTGCTCAGGTCCTGTCTCACAGTTGGCTGTTGAAGACGAGTTGTGGCCACCTAGTTCTCAACAATTGTTTTTATTCAACAAGATTTCTTAGAAAAATATCAGATTGCATTGACGATTTCCATCTCAGTGCAACTGAATTTGGCTTTCAATAAATGTTTTCCTTCAACAATGTTTCTTAATTTTAATATTTTAATTCTTCCAAAAAGGATATTCTTAAATCTCCAAAGACATTAATTTACAAAAGTAAGATTTAGTTCCTTTTTAACAGGAATAAATCTAGTCTTTCTAAATTGTTTTGACAAATTATTTATTCAATTCAAGATGATGAAAATTAAGTTTAAGAAGGCAATATAAAAAAAGAGGAAATATTAATTGTTTACCTGGCATTTTCCAAACTCATCTGTTCATTTTCAAAGGCCGCAAGAAATTTTTTTGGTGTCTTTCATATATGAAGAGACATTCATCCAACTGTTATCAGTTCCAATCACTAATTGGGGAGGATTCATAATTAATGAATCAATTAAACTCTGATATTTGGCCGAATTCAAGAAAATCTCTGTGAAATTGATCTTCACTGCATCCAATGGAAAACTGGCATTGTATAATTGATCAACCTGCAAGACAAATGATACAAATCTAACTTTCATTCATTATTCACTTGTTAAATCCAATTCTCAATTTAAAATGCTTGATAAATGAACTTTAATGAAATAAGAATGATTGGAAAAATGTGGCTAGATTGATAACTCACTAAGGTGATATATCTTTGGAATCCGTGAATCTTTGAAAGAATTTCCATCCATGGTCTGTTGAAGAATTCTTGGAAAGATACACTGGCACAGACTTTAGCTTGGAACTGGGCTGCTCTACTTCCCAAAACATTAGTTGCAAATATTTGACTGAATACTGCACTATTGTTGCATACCTGGTCCCATTTGACCGTGCTTAACAGCTTTTCAGCCTTCAATGAAAAAACAAAATCATTATTACAAGAAAAATATGAATGTTTATGAAAATCTTTTCTTGAGTTCTAATGGAATGAAAGATTATTTCTCTTTGCCATATTTTTATCTGTTGATTGGAATGTCATAGTTTTGGTTTACAATTTGTGGCCATGAAATAAGAACTGGTTAAGTTTTCATGTTTATCTGATTTAAGAAGAGGGATGAAAAATATAATAAAACTGTTTTACCATATTGATTTATATGTTATGTGCCTTCTAATTGTCTATGTTATATCCTTTCCCCCATGAAATATCCGTCATGACATTCTGCTAAAAGACAACATTTATATACTATAACTTTAGTAAACTAATTCAGCAGTTTGAAACTTATTTCTTTGTAAAATATCTTTGTCTATGTTGTCATTTGTGCGGATAATTTATTGACATTTTCATTGTTAACAAAGAATTCCAACCATTTTATTTATTATTTTTTTGTATTATTATTCATGCTTTCTCTATCCAGTACTTTTCAAAATGGTCAAGAGTTTTTTTCTCACTTTATGTAATATGAATTACATTGCTCGGACTGTTATCCTCATCTTTATTGTCATGTTCGTGATGTTTCAGCGTTTGTATGATCTGGCTTTCTTCAGGTGATTGGAATTTGGAATTGAACCCTTTGTTTCAACCATTCCAAATTTTCTCCATATTTATGATCTATTGGGTGCATACTGATCTTTCAAAATCGATTTATATTACTAAGATGAGGTATTGTAATTATTTACATCATTCGGGGAGTTGTCCTCATCTTCATTGTCATGTTCATAAAATAAATGCTCAGTTCGAAGTTCCAAGCACCTCAAGATGTCTGCAGCATGCAACAGCTAAAATGTCACGTACATGACAATAAACATTAGGTTAACATTCCAAATAATGTAAATAATTACAATATCTCATCTCAGAAATATAGACCGATAATGTAATAAAATATTTATCAGATGTGATTAACATTTCAACAATTCAGTCCCCAATCAGATCAGTAAAATATAATGATAAAAAGAATATCAAGAAATATTTTACCTCTTGTGGTTTTTGGTTCCAACGTAGAATCGTATTTAGGAAAACACTGACAACATCAGGACTTGCCTCAAGCAATGCAACCAATTTCTTGATATCTTCTGAATTCAGAAAATCCTGCAATACAAACTTCTTTGTGGCTGGAAAGAAAAAAAGATTTTGTTAAAAAAGAAGAATGGATAATGAAAGAAATCTTTCAAGTTAATTTTTAAAATTATATCAATCATTTCTTGAGAATGGATCAGGGGCTTGCTTAAATTATTTGTGTGGAAATCATTTATTTCAAGTCAGAGAAGTGTTTGACAAAATAGATAATGTTGTGTGTGATGTTTTTTTTATTTTTTAGGATTTCATCTGAAAATGTTTTTCTTGATTGAATTATATTTGTTTAGGAAGGAAAGGTGGAAGGTAAAAATACAAATATCACTTGTAATTGTGCAAAACAAGAAACATTAATCATGTTGGAAGATTGGAATTTGAAACATTTCATTTGTTTTTAGAGGTGTCTTAGATGTTCATGTAATTCACGTAATTCTAATATATAAAAATTTACATATATTTAGTGCCTGTTATTTCAAGTATTATTATTCTTACCACTGATTTTTTCCAAATGGAAATTGATGAATGTGTACCAATAGCTTTCCATTAGGAGTTGGCGTTTCATTTCTGACAATACAGGATCAACCGTTGCTGGTATCTCGCTGAATGCCATATTCAAAGATTCTCCAATTGTTGCCAAAATAGTTGGTAGACTACAATTAAAGAAAATAAACCATATTAGCTTCCTTGAATCACTTCCAGTTAGAGAAAATAGAGAAATATTAGATCTCTTAGATTATTTCAATTTTGCAGCAATTAAATTCAATTTTTCAATAAATGTGTTCTATCAACAGAATTTCTGTTGTGTCATAGATAGGAAAGTTTTAAAAACACATAGAAAATAAGATGTAGTTTATTTTGGACAATAATATGGCACATGGTTGAGAACACAGACTAATGTAAAAAACAGTTATTTATTAACGCCTCTCACTCAGTAAGAGAGAGAGTGCTGTTTAAATATACTTAGACCAGTCTTTCTTGTGGTGGTTTTCAGCTACTCCACAACATCACTATTTTTTGAACTGACTCCATCCTCTTGAAGACATACTTTTTCTCTTTTGGGTTTATTCCTATAGCCCATGTAAATTTCCTTTTCCTTTACTTGAATGTTTCTTCTCAGGGTCTATTAAGGGCATCAGAACATCAAATAAGTCATAAATAACCTTCATCAGTTCTTCCTTCTGGTTATTTTTATACTCTGAATACCTATTCCTCATCTGGCTGTGATGTCTTTAATGGGTTTTTTTAGGTCTTTAATTATATACATTAATCTCCCAATGATACCAGCATTCCAAATTTCTTTCCCGTTTCTATACTTTTTGAAAAAAAAATTTTATTCTTGGTTTATACGATTTTGTATTGGCTTTTTATTTCCCTTCGGCATCAGTTTATTTTACTATTTTTTTCGTGAACATTAACTACAGGTGACAATCCTGAATTAGTACTTGAGTTTGGTGATATATGATATACCCTTAAAAATTGTAGGATATGGTCAATGGATTCATTTGCATCTGACTTTTTTTTAATGCTCACTTGAAATCTTTCTGCTTGCACATTAGATCACAGGTAATATGGTGCAGTAATGAGGCGTTCAATAGAAAAAAAAAATTTACAAAAGTCTTTGAACTCTTTTGCTGTGAATTGTGTTCCATTGTCCGATACAATCACATCTGGGATACCAGATCTGGTAAGGAGTTCATGCAAAAATTTAATTGTATCATTGCACATAGTTTTTTTTTGTTTTCATCTGACTTTTTTTTAATGTGCACTTGTTAGTGTCTATAAATTTTTCTGCCTGCCCATTAGATCACAGGTGATATGGTTTGGTAGTGATGTGTTTAATTGAAAAAACTTTATGAAAGTCTTTGAACTCTTTTGCTGTCAATTTTGTGCCATCTTCTGACATTATCATATCCATGATACTGGATTGGGTAAACTGTTCATACAAAAATTTAATTGTATCATTGCACATAGGGTTTTTACATTTCTCTGGCCATTTCAAGAAATTGTCAACCACAATTAAATAATATTGTCTCTTTATTGGACCTGCAAAATATTTATGCAACCTTGCTCAAGGTCTGTCCATCTTTGGCCAAGGGGTAAATTTCACTGGTTGGGTCTCTGTTGCCATTGCACAACATCTGCATGATTTTATATTTTTTCTATTTCTTTTTCACAGATAGAAAAAAATCTTTTGACAGAGTTTTTTTTTTGTTACTGTTAGTCCATAATTTGTTTCTTTTTCTCAGAGATATATTTGTCTATTTTTGCTTTGATCTCCTCAAGTGTCATAGGTAATTCCCATATGATGTTGCACAGCACACATTTTATTTTCATTTCTATTCTTAGGGCTGCTATCACAGTTTCCTTGAATAGGTCACATAATTAGGTGATTAACCTGAATAACCCATCCACATGCCCTAACCTCTGTCATGGAACGAACTCTGTCTTAAAATTATAATTTAATAATATTGTTCCCCATCTTTGAAATTAATTTGCAGTATGTGTAGGAATCCCTTTTGTGGAACCAAAAATAGACAATATCAGTCTGTGGTCCGTTTGAAGCATAAAAATAGACAATATCAGTCTGTGGTCCATTTGAAGCATAAAAATAGACAATATCAGTTTGTGGTCCATTTGAAGCATAAAAATATACAATATCAGTCTGTGGTCATTTGAAGCATAAAAATAGAAAATATCAGTCTGTGGTCCGTTTGAGGCATAAAAATAGACTATATCAGTCTGTGGTCCGTTTGAAGCATAAAAATAGACAATAGCAGTCTGTGGTCCATTTGAAGCATAAAAATATACAATATCAGTCTGTGGTCCATTTGAAGCATAAAACTTCTTCCATGAATGAACTATGGAACTTTTTTACCACCAAAATTATCCCTAAAGCCTCTTTTTTGACTTGGTTGTACTCTTTTTCTGCTGACAATAGAGTGCTGTTTAAATAATCTTAGACCAGTGCATCTTGTGGAGGTGTTCAGCTACTCCAGAACAGTTTTAATATTTTCAGAGGAGGTATGGTAAAGGGATTGCAGCTAGGATTAATGAATCAGAGAACTGAGTTCAAATTCCAGCCGAGTTGATTTCATCCACTTACATGCTAATACCCTTGGGAAAAGTATGAATCCAACTCTCCCACCACCTATTGGTAATTAGTAGGACAGACAGGTTTCTATCACCTTGGATGGCAACCAGTCTAGACGAAGGAAAACTCTGAATTCAAAACTGTATCTAGCCCTGGAACGGTAGATTCTTAATATTTAAATTCTTCCAAACAGGATATTCTCAGATCTCCAATGACATTAATTTACAAAGGAAGAATGGAGTTATTTTCAAATAGGAATAAATGTTATTTACAGTATTTACATAATTTGGAATATTGTCCTCATCTTTACTGTCATTTTGACAACTTTTCAACCGTTGTACACTCTGGCCTTCTTCAGGTGAAGTATGTTGATATTTCAAACCAAAACCTTTATTTTGTCTACCAGACTGTGTTGGAATGTGTCACGAAAAAATAAATGATTTCGTCTCTTTCTCGCCTGCTGTCATAGCGATGGACACAGTCTCCACTTCCGAGACTGAAAACTGCCCTCCTTCTCATTCCAGCCCTTTACATAGAGCTTGGTAACTCACCTATGCAAAACACCAGCAATACAGCTACCAATCACAGTTCCCGTGCCTGCCCACCTCCACTCGCTTTGGGGGTGTCAAGTTGACCGACCAACTCATTACAGTGAAGTAAGTTGATATTTCAAACCAAAACCTTTATTTTGTCTACCAGACAATCTACCCCAGTGGACAAAATAAAGAGTTCAACATATATCACTTGAAGAAGGCCATAGTGTACAACGTCCCAAATGTTGTGAATAGGACAATAAAGATGAGGACAACTGTTCAATGTAAATAGTGTCAATAATTACAACACCTTGTCTCAGAAATATAGACTAAGGAATAAATGTTGTGTTCCTAAATTCTTTTGTCAAACAGTTTGTTGGTGAAACTGAAGATAATGAAAAGTACATTTTAATAAGCAACGTTAAAAAAATAAAAGATGAGAAAGTGTTTATTGTTTACCTGGCATTTGTCCAACTCATCTGTTCATTTTCAAAGACTGCGAGAAACATTTTGATGTCTTTCATATATGAAGAGACATTCATCCAACTGTTATCAGTTCCAATCACTAATTGGGGAGGATTCATAATTAATGAATCAATTAAACACTGACATTATATATATATATATATATATATATATATATATATATATATATGTCTCTGGATTACTTGGAGAACATAGGGCCTCAACAACATCTCTCCAATGGACATGGTTCCAGGCGATCTTCTTCAACTCAGACCATGTCATGCCAGCTGCCTTCACCTTTGCGTCAACACTGAGGCCAAGTATGTTTTGGTCGAGCAACTTTTTCAATTGCCTTGCAGTGTGTGTACCTGATCCATTTCAATTTCCGTTTTTGATGTCAATCTCATTTCGGGTTGCTCTGGTCCTGACTCACTGTTGAAGACGAGTTGTGGCCACCTAGTTCTCAACAATTATTTTCATTCAACAAGATTTCTTAGAAAAATATCAGATTCCATAGATGATTTCCATTTCAGTGCAACTGAATTTGGCTTTCAATAAATGTTTTCCTTCAACAATGTTTCTTAATTTTAATATTTTAATTCTTCCAAAAGGATATTCTCAAATCTCCAAAGACATTAATTTACAAAAGTAAGATTTAGTTCCTTTTTAACAGGAATAAATCTAGTCTTTCTAAATTGTTTTGCCAAATTATTTATTCAATTCAAGATGATGAAAATTAAGTTTTAGAAGGCAATATAAAAAAAAAAGAGGAAATATTAATTGTTTACCTGGCATTTTCCAAATTCATCTGTTCATTTTCAAAGGCCGCAAGAAACTTTTTGGTGTCTTTCATATATGAAGAGACATTCATCCAACTGTTATCAGTTCCAATCACTAATTGGGGAGGATTCATAATTAATGAATCAATTAAACTCTGATATTTGGCCGAATTCAAGAAAATCTCTGTGAAATTGATCTTCACTGCATCCAATGGAAAACTGGCATTGTATAATTGATCAACCTGCAAGACAAATGATACAAATCTAACTTTCATTCATTATTCACTTGTTAAATCCAATTCTCAATTTAAAATGCTTGATAAATGAACTTTAATGAAATAAGAATGATTGGAAAATGTGGCTAGATTGATAACTCACTAAGGTGATATATCTTTTGAATCCGTGAATCTTTGAAAGAATTTCCATCCATGGTCTGTTGAAGAATTCTTGGAAAGATACACTGGCACAGACTTTAGCTTGGAACTGGGCTGCTCTACTTCCTAAAACATTAGTTGCAAATATTTGACTGAATACTGCACTATTGTTGCATACCTGGTCCCATTTGACCGTGCTTTAACAGCTTTTCAGCCTTCAATGAAAAAAAAAAACAAAATCATTATTACAAGAAAAAATATGAATGTTTATGAAAATCTTTTCTTGAGTTCTAATGGAATGAAAGATTATTTCTCTTTGCCATATTTTTATCTGTTGATTGGAATGTCATAGTTTTGGTTTACAATTTGTGGCCATGAAATAAGAACTGGTTAAGTTTTCATGTTTATCTGATTTAAGAAGAGGGATGAAAAATATAATAAAACTGTTTTACCATATTGATTAATATGTTATGTGCCTTCTAATTGTGTATGTTATATCCTTTCCCCCATGAAATATCCATCATGACATTCTGCTAAAAGACAACATTTATATATTATAACTTCAGTAAACTAATTCAGCAGTTTGAAACTTATTTCTATAGGCATATATTCTGTTTTGTAAAATATCTTTGTCTTTGTTGTCATTTGTGCGGATAATTTATTGACATATTCATTGTTAACAAAGAATTGTAACCATTTTATTTATCATTTTTTTGTATTATTATTCATGCTTTCTCTATCCAGTACTTTTCAAAATGGTCAAGAGTTTTTTTCTCACTTTATGGAATATGAATTACATTGCTTGGACTGTTATCCTCATCTTTATTGTCATGTTCGTGATGTTTCAGCGTTTGTATGATCTGGCTTTCTTCTGGTGATTGGAATTTGGAATTGAACCCTTTGTTTCAACCATTCCAAATTTTCTCCATATTTATGATCTCTTGGGTGCATACTGATCTTTCAAAATCGATGTATATTACTAAGATGAAGTATTGTAATTATTTACATTATTCGGAGAGTTGTCCTCATCTTCATTGTCATGTTCATAAAATAAAGGCTCAGTTCAAAGTTCCAAGCACCTCAAGATGTCTGCAGCATGCAACAGCTAAAATGTCACGTACATGACAATATACATTAGGGGAGCATTCCAAATAATGTAAATAATTACAATATCTCATCTCAGAAATATAGACCGATAATGTAATAAAATATTTATCAGATGGGATTAACATTTTAACAATTCAGTCCCCAATCAGATCAGTAAAATATAATGATAAAAAGAATATCAAGAAATATTTTACCTCTTGTGGTTTTGGTTCCAACGTAGAATCGTATTTAGGAAAACACTGACAACATCAGGACTTGCCTCAAGCAATGCAACCAATTTCTTGATATCTTCTGAATTCAGAAAATCCTGCAATACAAACTTCTTTGTGGCTGGAAAGAAAAAAAAAAGATTTTGTTAAAAATGAAGAATGGATAATGAGAGAAATCTTTCAAGTTAATTTTTTAAATTATATCAATCATTTCTTGAGAATGGATCAGGGGCTTGATTAAATTATTTGTGTGGAAATCATTTATTTCAAGTCAGAGAAGTGTTTGACAAAATAGATAATGTTGTGTGTGATGTTTTTTTATTTTTTAGGATTTCATCTGAAAATGTTTTTCTTGATTGAATTATATTTGTTTAGGAAGGAAAGGTGGAAGGTAAAAATACAAATATCACTTGTAATTGTGCAAAACAAGAAACATTAATCATGTTGGAAGATTGGAATTTGAAACTTTTCATTTGTTTTTAGATGTGTCTTAGATGTTCATGTAATTCACGTAATTCTAATATATAAAAATTTACATATATTTAGTGCCTGTTATTACAAGTATTATTATTCTTACCACCGATTTTTTCCAAATGGAAATTGATGAATGTGTACCAATAGCTTTCCATTAGGAGTTGGCGTTTCATTTCTGACAATACAGGATCAACACCTGCAGGTATGTCGCTGAATGCCATATTCAAAGATTCTCCAATTGTTGCCAAAATAGTTGGTAGACTACAATTAAAGAGAATAAACAATATTAGCTTCCTTGAATGACTTCCAGTTAGAGAAAATAGAGAAATATTAGATCTCTGAGATTATTTCAATTTTGCAGCAATTAAATTCAATAAATGTGTTCTATCAACAGAATTTCTGTTGTGTCATAGATAGGAAAGTTTTACACACACATAGAAAATAAGATGTAGTTTATTTTGGACAATAATATGGCACATGGTTGAGAACACAGACTAGTGTAAAAAACAGTTAATTATTAACGCCTCTCACTCAGTAAGAGAGAGTGCTGTTTAAATAAACTTAGACCAGTCTTTCTTGTGGTGGTTTTCAGCTACTCCACAACATGCCTATCTTTTGAATTGACTCCATCCTCTTGAAGACATACTTTTTCTCTTTTGGGTTTATTCCTTTAGCCCATGTAAATTTCCTTTTCCTTTACTTGAATGTTTCTTCTCAGGGTCTATTAAGGGCATAAGAACATCAAATAAATCATGAATAACCTTCATCAGTTCTTCCTTCTGGTTATTTATATACTCTGAATACCTATTCCTCATCTGGCTGTGATGTCTTTAATGGGTTTTTTAGGTCTTTAATTATATACATTAATCTCCCAATGTGTTTATCAATGATACCAGCATTCCAAATTTCTTTCCGTTTCTATACTTTTTTGAAAAAAATTTATTCTTGGTTTATAGGATTTTGTATTGGCTTTTATTTCACTTCGGCATCAGTTTATTTTACTATTTTTTCGTGAACATTAACTACAGGTGACAATCCTGAATTAGTACTTGAGTTTGGTGATATATGATATACCCTTAAAAATTGTAGGATATGGTCAATGGATTCATTTGCATCTGACTTTTTTTAATGCTCACTTGAAATCTTTCTGCTCGCACATTATATCACAGGTAGTGCAGTAATTAGGCGTTCAATAGAAAAAAAAAATTTACAAAAGTCTTTGAACTCTTTTACTGTGAATTGTGTGCCATTGTCCGATACAATTACATCTGGGATACCAGATCTGGTAAAGAGTTCATGCAAAAATTTAATTGTATCATTGCACATAGGGTTTTACATTTCTCTGGCCATTTCAAGAAATTGTCAACCACAATTAAATAATATTGTCTCTTTATTGACCTGCAAAATATTTATGCAACCTTGCTCAAGGTCTGTCCATCTTTGGACAAGGGTAAATTTCACTGGTTGGGACTCTGTTGCCATTGCACAACATCTGCATGATTTTATATTTTTCTATTTCTTTTTCACAGTTAGAAAAAAAGTCTTTTGACAATCAGACATTTTTTTTTTTGTTACTGTTAGTCCATAATTTGTTTCTTTTTTCTCTGAGATATATTTGTCTATTTTTTTGCTTTGATCTCCTCAAGCATCATAAGTAATTCCCATATGATGTTTCACAGAACACATTTTATTTTCATTTCTATTCTTAGGGCTGCTATCACAGTTTCCTTGAATAGGTCACATAATTTGGTTATTAACCTAGATGACCCATCCACATGCCCTAACCTCTGTCATGGAACAAACTCTGTCTTAAAATTAAAATTTAATAATATTGTTCCCCCATCTTTGAAATTAATTTGCAGTATGTGTAGGAATCCCTTTTGTGGAACCAAAATAGAGAATATCAGTCTGTGGTCAATTTGAAGCATAAAATAGACAATATCAGTCTGTGGTCTGTTTGAAGCATAAAACTTCTTCCATGAATGAACTATGGAACTTTTCTACCACCAAAATTATCCCTAAAGCCTCTTTTTTGACTTGGTTGTACTCTTTTTCAGCTGACAATATGTAGAAAAATCATGTGGTAGAGATAAACACACAGTTGTGGAGCAAGCTAAGTGAATAATAATCCAACCTTTAGAAAGAGAGCTATTTATGTCGTCATGGAGCATCTCATTGTGCTAAAGTGGAATAGTCCATTGCTTGGGCTGTGATTGGCTGCTGGTACCTGAGTGGAGGTATTTCTATATAAATACCAGCTTGATTCATCAGTTAGTTTGCAGGGTTTGTATTAAGTTACAACCTGCTTTATTTTTGTCTGCCAGCTGGATGCTAGCTGGGACCTTTACGCCAGTAAGTGCTGTTTATTATTGTTATTCTACACAATAGAGTGCTGTTTAAATAATCTTAGACCAGTGCATCTTGTGGAGGTGTTCAGCTACTCCAGAACAGTTTTAATATTTTCAGAGGAAGTATGGTAAAGGGATTGCAGCTAGGATTAATGAATCAGAGAACTGAGTTCAAATTCCAGCCGAATTGATTTCATCCACTTACATGCTAATACCCTTGGGAAAAGTATGAATCCAACTCTCTCACCACCTATTGGTAAATAGTAGGACAGACAGGTTTCTATCGCCTTGGATGGCAAGCAGTCTAGACGAAGGAAAACTCTGAATTCAAAACTGTATCTAGCCCTGGTATGGTAGATTCTTAATATTTAAATTCTTCCAAACAGGATATTCTCAGATCTCCAATGACATTAATTTACAAAGGAAGAATGGAGTTATTTTCAAATAGGAATAAATGTTATTTACAGTATTTATATAATTTGGACTATTGTCCTCATCTTTATTGCCATATTCACAACTTTTCAACCGTTGTACACTCTGGCCTTCTTCAGGTGAAGTATGTTGATATTTCAAACCAAAACCTTTATTTTGTCTACCAGACTGTGTTGGAATGTGTCACGAAAAAATAAATGATTTCGTCTCTTTCTCACCTGCTGTCATAGCGATGGACACAGTCTCCACTTCCGAGACTGAAAACTGCCCTCCTTCTCATTCCAGCCCTTTACATAGAGCTTGGTAACTCACCTATGCAAAACACCAGCAATACAGCTACCAATCACAGTTCAGGGTGCCTGCCCACCTCCACTCGCTTTGGGGGTGTCAAGTTGACTGACCAACTCATTACAGTGAAGTATGTTGATATTTCAAACAAAAACCTTTATTTTGTCTACCAGACAATCTACCCCAGTGGACAAAATAAAGAGTTCAACATATATCACTTGAAGAAGGCCATAGTGTACAACGTCCCAAATGTTGTGAATAGGACAATAAAGATGAGGACAACTGTTCAATGTAAATCGTGTCAATAATTACAACACCTTGTCTCAGAAATATAGACTAAGGAATAAATGTTGTGTTCCTAAATTCTTTTGTCAAACAGTTTGTTGGTGAAACTGAAGATAATGAAAAGTACATTTTAATAAGCAACGTTAAAAAAAAAATAAAAGATGAGAAAGTGTTTATTGTTTACCTGGCATTTGTCCAACTCATCTGTTCATTTTCAAAGACTGCAAAAGAAACATTTTGATGTCTTTCATATATGAAGAGACATTCATCCAACTGTTATCAGTTCCAATCACTAATTGGGAGGATTCATAATTAATGAATCAATTAAACACTGACATTTATATATATATATATATATATATATATATATATATATATATATTATGCCTCTGGATTACTTGGAGAACATAGGGCCACAACAACATCTCTCCAATGGACATGGTTCCAGGCGATCTTCTTCAACTCAGACCATGTCATGCCAGCTGCCTTCACCTTTGCGTCAACACTGAGGCCAAATATGTATTGGTCGAGCAACGTTTCAATTGCCTTGCAGTCTGTGTACCTGATCCATTCCAATTTCCCTTTTTGATGTCAATCTCATTTGGGGTTGCTCTGGTCCTGACTCACTGTTGAAGACGAGTTGTGGCCACCTAGTTCTCAACGATTATTTTCATTCAACAAGATTTCATAGAAAAATATCAGATTCCATAGATGATTTCCATTTCAGAGCAACTGAACTTGGCTTTCAATAAATGTTTTCCTTCAACAATGTTTCTTAATTTTAATATTTTAATTCTTCCAAAAAGGATATTCTTAAATCTCCAAAGACATTAATTTACAAAAGTAAGATTTAGTTCCTTTTTAACAGGAATAAATCTAGTCTTTCTAAATTGTTTTGCCAAATTATTTATTCAATTCAAGATGATGAAAATTAAGTTTTAGAAGGCAATATAAAAAAAAAAGAGGAAATATTAATTGTTTACCTGGCATTTTCCAAACTCATCTGTTCATTTTCAAAGGCCGCAAGAAATTTTTTGGTGTCTTTCATATATGAAGAGACATTCATCCAACTGTTATCAGTTCCAATCACTAATTGGGGAGGATTCATAATTAATGAATCAATTAAACTCTGATATTTGGCCGAATTCAAGAAAATCTCTGTGAAATTGATCTTCACTGCATCCAATGGAAAACTGGCATTGTATAATTGATCAACCTGCAAGACAAATGATACAAATCTAACTTTCATTCATTATTCACTTGTTAAATCCAATTCTCAATTTAAAATGCTTGATAAATGAACTTTAATGAAATAAGAATGATTGGAAAAATGTGGCTAGATTGATAACTCACTAAGGTGATATATCTTTGGAATCCGTGAATCTTTGAAAGAATTTCCATCCATGGTCTGTTGAAGAATTCTTGGAAAGATACACTGGCACAGACTTTAGCTTGGAACTGGGCTGCTCTATTTCCCAAAACATTAGTTGCAAATATTTGACTGAATACTGCACTATTGTTGCATACCTGGTCCCATTTGACCGTGCTTAACAGCTTTTCAGCCTTCAATGAAAAACAAAATCATTATTACAAGAAAATATGAATGTTTATGAAAATCTTTTCTTGAGTTCTAATGGAATGAAAGATTATTTCTCTTTGCCATATTTTATCTGTTGATTGGAATGTCATAGTTTTGGTTTACATTTTGTGGCCATGAAATAAGAACTGGTTAAGTTTTCATGTTTATCTGATTTAAGAAGAGGGATGAAAATATAATAAAACTGTTTTACCATATTGATTTATATGTTATGTGCCTTCTAATTGTCTATGTTATATCCTTTCCCCCATGAAATATCCATCATGACATTCTGCTAAAAGACAACATTTATATATTATAACTTCAGTAAACTAATTCAGCAGTTTGAAACTTATTTCTATAGGCATATATTCTGTTTTGTAAAATATCTTTGTCTTTGTTGTCATTTGTGCGGATAATTTATTGACATATTCATTGTTAACAAAGAATTGTAACCATTTTATTTATCATTTTTGTATTATTATTCATGCTTTCTCTATCCAGTACTTTTCAAAATGGTCAAAGTTTTTTTCTCACTTTATGGAATATGAATTACATTGCTTGGACTGTTATCCTCATCTTTATTGTCATGTTCGTGATGTTTCAGCGTTTGTATGATCTGGCTTTCTTCTGGTGATTGGAATTTGAATTGAACCCTTGTTTCAACCATTCCAAATTTTCTCCATATTTATGATCTCTTGGGTGCATACTGATCTTTCAAAATCGATGTATATTACTAAGATGAAGTATTGTAATTATTTACATTATTCGGAGAGTTGTCCTCATCTTCATTGTCATGTTCATAAAATAAAGGCTCAGTTCAAAGTTCCAAGCACCTCAAGATGTCTGCAGCATGCAACAGCTAAAATGTCACGTACATGACAATATACATTAGGGGAGCATTCCAAATAATGTAAATAATTACAATATCTCATCTCAGAAATATAGACCGATAATGTAATAAAATATTTATCAGATGGGATTAACATTTTAACAATTCAGTCCCCAATCAGATCAGTAAAATATAATGATAAAAAGAATATCAAGAAATATTTTACCTCTTGTGGTTTTTGGTTCCAACGTAGAATCGTATTTAGGAAAACACTGACAACATCAGGACTTGCCTCAAGCAATGCAACCAATTTCTTGATATCTTCTGAATTCAGAAAATCCTGCAATACAAACTTCTTTGTGGCTGGAAAGAAAAAAAAAAGATTTTGTTAAAAATGAAGAATGGATAATGAGAGAAATCTTTCAAGTTAATTTTTTAAATTATATCAATCATTTCTTGAGAATGGATCAGGGGCTTGATTAAATTATTTGTGTGGAAATCATTTATTTCAAGTCAGAGAAGTGTTTGACAAAATAGATAATGTTGTGTGTGATGTTTTTTATTTTTTAGGATTTCATCTGAAAATGTTTTTCTTGATTGAATTATATTTGTTTAGGAAGGAAAGGTGGAAGGTAAAAATACAAATATCACTTGTAATTGTGCAAAACAAGAAACATTAATCATGTTGGAAGATTGAATTTGAAACTTTTCATTTGTTTTTAGATGTGTCTTAGATGTTCATGTAATTCACGTAATTCTAATATATAAAAATTTACATATATTTAGTGCCTGTTATTACAAGTATTATTATTCTTACCACTGATTTTTTTCCAAATGGAAATTGATGAATGTACCAATAGCTTTCCATTAGAGTTGGCGTTTCATTTCTGACAATACAGGATCAACACCTGCAGGTATGTCGCTGAATGCCATATTCAAAGATTCTCCAATTGTTGCCAAAATAGTTGGTAGACTACAATTAAAGAGAATAAACAATATTAGCTTCCTTGAATGACTTCCAGTTAGAGAAAATAGAGAAATATTAGATCTCTGAGATTATTTCAATTTTGCAGCAATTAAATTCAATAAATGTGTTCTATCAACAGAATTTCTGTTGTGTCATAGATAGGAAAGTTTTACACACACATAGAAAATAAGATGTAGTTTATTTTGGACAATAATATGGCACATGGTTGAGAACACAGACTAGTGTAAAAAACAGTTAATTATTAACGCCTCTCACTCAGTAAGAGAGAGTGCTGTTTAAATAAACTTAGAACAGTCTTTCTTGTGGTGGTTTTCAGCTACTCCACAACATGCCTATCTTTTGAATTGACTCCATCCTCTTGAAGACATACTTTTTCTCTTTTGGGTTTATTCCTTTAGCCCATGTAAATTTCCTTTTCCTTTACTTGAATGTTTCTTCTCAGGGTCTATTAAGGGCATAAGAACATCAAATAAATCATGAATAACCTTCATCAGTTCTTCCTTCTGGTTATTTATATACTCTGAATACCTATTCCTCATCTGGCTGTGATGTCTTTAATGGGTTTTTTTAGGTCTTTAATTATATACATTAATCTCCCAATGTGTTTATCAATGATACCAGCATTCCAAATTTCTTTCCCGTTTCTATACTTTTTGAAAAAAAATTTATTCTTGGTTTATAGGATTTTGTATTGGCTTTTTATTTCACTTCGGCATCAGTTTATTTTACTATTTTTTTCGTGAACATTAACTACAGGTGACAATCCTGAATTAGTACTTGAGTTTGGTGATATATGATATACCCTTAAAAATTGTAGGATATGGTCAATGGATTCATTTGCATCTGACTTTTTTTAATGCTCACTTGAAATCTTTCTGCTCGCACATTATATCACAGGTAATATAGTGCAGTAATTAGGCGTTCAATAGAAAAAAAAAATTTACAAAAGTCTTTGAACTCTTTTACTGTGAATTGTGTGCCATTGTCCGATACAATTACATCTGGGATACCAGATCTGGTAAAGAGTTCATGCAAAAATTTAATTGTATCATTGCACATAGGGTTTTTACATTTCTCTGGCCATTTCAAGAAATTGTCAACCACAATTAAATAATATTGTCTCTTTATTGGACCTGCAAAATATTTATGCAACCTTGCTCAAGGTCTGTCCATCTTTGGACAAGGGGTAAATTTCACTGGTTGGGACTCTGTTGCCATTGCACAACATCTGCATGATTTTATATTTTTTCTATTTCTTTTTCACAGTTAGAAAAAGTCTTTTGACAATCAGACATTTGTTTTTTTTTGTTACTGTTAGTCCATAATTTGTTTCTTTTTCTCTGAGATATATTTGTCTATTTTTGCTTTGATCTCCTCAAGCATCATAAGTAATTCCCATATGATGTTTCACAGAACACATTTTATTTTCATTTCTATTCTTAGGGCTGCTATCACAGTTTCCTTGAATAGGAATTTGGTCATTAACCTAGATGACCCATCCACATGCCCTAACCTCTGTCATGGAACAAACTCTGTCTTAAAATTAAAATTTAATAATATTGTTCCCCATCTTTGAAATTAATTTGCAGTATGTGTAGGAATCCCTTTTGTGGAACCAAAAATAGAGAATATCAGTCTGTGGTCAATTTGAAGCATAAAAATAGACAATATCAGTCTGTGGTCTGTTTGAAGCATAAAACTTCTTCCATGAATGAACTATGGAACTTTTTTACCACCAAAATTATCCCTAAAGCCTCTTTTTTGACTTGGTTGTACTCTTTTTCAGCTGACAATATGTAGAAAAATCATGTGGTAGAGATAAACACACAGTTGTGGAGCAAGCTAAGTGAATAATAATCCAACCTTTAGAAAGAAAGCTATTTATGTCGTCATGGAGCATCTCATTGTGCTAAAGTGGGATAGTCCATTGCTTGGGCTGTGATTGGCTGCTGGTACCTGAGTGGAGGTATTTCTATATAAATACCAGCTTGATTCATCAGTTAGTTTGCAGGGTTTGTATTAAGTTACAACCTGCTTTATTTTTGTCTGCCAGCTGGATGCTAGCTGGGACCTTTACGCCAGTAAGTGCTGTTTATTATTGTTATTCTACACAATAGAGTCCTGTTTAAATAATCTTAGACCAGTGCATCTTGTGGAGGTGTTCAGCTACTCTAGAACAGTTTTAATATTTTCAGAGGAAGTATGGTAAAGGGATTGCAGCTAGGATTAATGAATCAGAGAACTGAGTTCAAATTCCAGCCGAATTGATTTCATCAACTTACATGCTAATACCCTTGGGAAAAGTATGAATCCAAATCTCCCACTACCTATTGGTAAATAGTAGGACAGACAGGTTTCTATCGCTTTGGATGGCAACCAGTCTAGACGAAGGAAAACTCTGAATTCAAAACTGTATCTAGCCCCGGTACGGTAGATTCTTAATATTTAAATTCTTCCAAACAGGATATTCTCAGATCTCCAATGACATTAATTTACAAAGGAAGAATGGAGTTATTTTCAAATAGGAATAAATGTTATTTACAGTATTTACATAATTCGGACTATTGTTCTCATCTTTATTGTCATATTCACAACTTTTCAACCATTGTACACTCTGACCTTCTTCAGGTGAAGTATGTTGATATTTCAAACCAAAACCTTTATTTTGGCTACCAGACTGTGTTGGAATGTGTCACGAAAAAATAAATGATTTCGTCTCTTTCTCTCCTGCTGTCGTAGCGACGGAGACAGTCTCCATTTCTGAGAATTGAAAGCTGCCATCCTTCTCATTCCAGCCCTTTACATATAGCTTGGTAACTCACCTATGCAAAACACCAGCAAGACAGCTACCAATCACAGTTCCCGTGCCTGCCCACCTCCACTCGCTTTGGGGGTGTCAAGTTGACCGACCAACTCATTACAGTGAAGTATGTTGATATTTCAAACCAAAACCTTTATTTTGTCTATCAGACAATCTAACCCAGTGGACAAAATAAAGAGTTCAACATATATCACTTGAAGAAGGCCATAGTGTACAACGTCCCAAATGTTGTGAATAGGACAATAAAAATGAGGACAACTATTCAATGTAAATAGTGTCAATAATTACAACACCTTGTCTCAGAAATATAGACTAAGGAATAAATGTTGTGTTCCTAAATTCTTTTGTCAAACAGTTTGTTGGTGAAACTGAAGATAATGAAAAGTACATTTTAATAAGCAACGTAAAAAAAATAAAAGATGAGAAACTGTTTATTGTTTACCTGGCATTTGTCCAACTCATCTGTTCATTTTCAAAGACTGCGAGAAACATTTTGATGTCTTTCATATATGAAGAGACATTCATCCAACTGTTATCAGTTCCAATCACTAATTGGGGAGGATTCATAATTAATGAATCAATTAAACACTGACATTATATATATATATATATATATATATATATATATATATATATATTATGCCTCTGGATTACTTGGAGAACATAGGGCCACAACAACATCTCTCCAATGGACATGGTTCCAGGCGATCTTCTTCAACTCAGACCATGTCATGCCAGCTGCCTTCACCTTTGCGTCAACACTGAGGCCAAGTATGTTTTGGTCGAGCAACGTTTCAATTGCCTTGCAGTCTGTGTACCTGATCCATTCCAATTTCCGTTTTTGATGTCAATCTCATTTGGGGTTGCTCTGGTCCTGACTCACTGTTGAAGACGAGTTGTTGCCACCTAGTTCTCAACGATTATTTTCATTCAACAAGATTTCATAGAAAAATATCAGATTCCATAGATGATTTCCATTTCAGAGCAACTGAACTTGGCTTTCAATAAATGTTTTCCTTTAACAATGTTTCTTAATTTTAATATTTTAATTCTTCCAAAAAGGATATTCTTAAATCTCCAAAGACATTAATTTACAAAAGTAAGATTTAGTTTCTTTTTAACAGGAATAAATCTAGTCTTTCTAAATTGTTTTGCCAAATTATTTATTCAATTCAAGATGATGAAAATTAAGTTTTAGAAGGCAATATAAAAAAAAAAGAGGAAATATTAATTGTTTACCTGGCATTTGTCCAACTCATCTGTTCATTTTCAAAGACTGCGAGAAACATTTTAATGTCTTTCATATATGAAGAGACATTCATCCAACTGTTATCAGTTCCAATCTCAAACTGTGGTGGATTCATAATCAGGGAGGTAATTAAGTCCTGTAGCTTTGTTTGTTTCAAAATCATACTAGTGTAACTGACCCTCTGTTCATTGGGACGATAACCCGTTTTGTATAATTGATTAATCTGTAAAGGAAGTGGAATCATTAAAATTTGGTTAGCTCTTCAGAATCATTAAATGTTAATATAATTGTGAATGTTGTGGAGTATCCACACTAGAGTAGGATTTGAGGAGTATTTGATTTACGCATGTTTTTTTCATTCTATGTGTTAGTATTTAATAAACCTCTTCTATATTTTACCTACGTAGTCTTCTATTCCTTCAATACTCACTAACTTCCTAATTCTCAGTTATTTATTACGTTCTTTTTGCTGTAGAGTAGGACTTAGCATACTTGCTGCTCTTCCCTGCTACTCTGACAATGGACTGCTCCTATTTATTTGGCAAGTAGCCACATTAGAGTAGGATTTGAGGTGTATTTGATTTATTAAAGTTTCTTCCATTCTATGTATGAGTATTTAGTAAACTGCTTCTTTGTTTCCGCTACCTGTTCCTTCAATACTCTCTCTAGCTATGGCCTTCTCAAATATTTTGAACTCTTATCAGTTTTTAATAAACATCTTCTTTGTTTACCCTACCTAGCCTTCTGTTCCTTCAATACTCTCTATAACTACGGACTTCCTAATTCTTGGCTATTTTGAACAAAGATTACAACAATGAGATATAATGTGACCGTGCTAGGATCAGAACACAGACAGTCAAGTGGATGGTAAATTATTTTATCTGATCTTGGAACAATTAGTAAGGTCTTGATATGAGGACACATCAAAGCAACCATCTGCTGTAAGAAACTGTAACTAAAGTATGCTCTGTGGGTGTTGAAGATAACACAAATGTGCTTGAGCAGGTGTCTGAAACGGGGATTATTTAGATATCCAAGCAAACAGGCATACTTGGAAAAGGAGTAGCCAACCACAATATATATAACAAAAAAAACAATAGTTTTAAATTGTGAAATAACTCACAGATGAATAAAGAGTACTGAATCCCTCCACATTTCTATTCAATTCAGAAAGGAGTTTGCTGAAGTCACCATGCAGTAGCACTCTGTTGCAGATTGTGCCATGAAAGTCTGCTTTTTCGCTTCCCAAAATATCTGTTGCAAATATTTGATTGAATAATGCACTGTTGTTGCACATTTGACCCCAGTCGACCGTATTTAACAGATTTTGGACCTGTAATATAAAAACAAAAGGAAAGCCATTAGCCCAATGTCAAAACACTTTGAAAAAAAATAAAAATAAATCAAAACTATTCCTATTCTGATGGAATTTATTTTATATTGAAGCATTTTCTTTCATTCTTATTTCATTTTTCTTTTTATATTTCTCGTCTTCCTTTCTTTTTCATTAAATTTTTCTATGTTAAATTTTTGTTAGCATTTCTTTTATTTTTCTTTCTCATTGAAATTTCCATTTTTACCTTTCATTTTTAATGAATATATTTCTGGTCATTTTGTTATAAAAATGTATTTTTGATAATTCTATTACAAAATGTATTGCTGGTCATTTTTTACTATAAATGTGTATTTTTGGTACACACACATTATGTATTGCTGGTATTTTTATTCTTTCATCGTGTTTTGTTTGTGGATTCACTATCTTCCCATAGCTGGGACCCTAACAGGTGCTACCACTCATAAACACAAAGAAAATGTCTTTGTACAGAAAAAAATGCTAACATATCTTGAAGGCAAAATACTTTTGTGTTGCATGCAGCTTTTGTAAAAAGAAAAAGGACTAAAAAGCAGAAAGACAATAAAAGTAGCCAATATAGACTATATGTATTGTGCTATTTAATACTAGAAAGAAAAAAATAATTTTCTACTGGTAACGTTTGTGGATGATTTGACTTTCAGCAACAAAGCAACACAACCAATTGGGTCCTCTATGGTAAAACGAGCATGGTCACCAAACACTGATTCAAGATATATACCTAGTCACATATGTAGTCAGGACTATATCACAAAAATAGTTGTCAAACATGGACAAACATGCTTACAATAAGACTTAATGTCAAAAGGACATTTTTTCCCATGACACTGCTTTTTTAACTACCTTCACTCTTCAGCAATGTTTATTGTTTTAAAAAGCAATGATCATGTCCAAAAGAAAATGGTGGCATATCCCGAAGGCCCAAATGCTTTTGTGCAATACTGCTTTTGCAGAAGAATTTTATCACTGCACACAATATTCTTTTAAGTCCTCAGTCAAGCTTTGAAGTATGGGTGATGAAAACTGGTCATGTATTTTTTCACTATTTACTTTTTGATTTACCATCTATGATATTTGTCACATCAGGCATTGGTCTACTGCTGGTAAAATGCAATACAGTACAACCCCTGGCATGGTAGGCATCTAAACCAACTCCCCCACCAGTGAGCAGGGTGGCATGTCACCCTGCTCACCCATGTCACAATCTTTTTTTTACAGGTGGATGCATTTAGATGCTAGTAGAAAAACACAATTATAATAACTGCATCCACCTGTAAAAAAGATTAAACATAATGGAAGCTTTAATAATAAAAAAGAAAAAGCCAACTCTTAACAATATTAACTACGAACAAGGCCACAATATACTAACCGTATTCAGAAATTAAAAACATCTCTATAACACACTAAAACATACACATAATGCACACATTCAATTAAGCTGAAAAACTGAATCATCCTTGATAATGGCTAAAGGTATAGCCGAAAGCACTCGGAACTATAAAACATTTGGATAGTTTTTACACACTCTTTGTCTAGAAAAGAAAGCTTTTGTTTGAACACAAGAAAAATTCAATAAAAAGCTTAACCGTAGTACCTTGTCTGTCGTTTTTAATGAAACATCCATAAACAAAGGATTTCTGCCTAAATATACAACTATATATATATATATATATATATATATAAAAAAGGGTGTTTCCTTAAGACAGATTATATATAAGTGTGTTTCATTAAGGCGGATCAAAGTCAGCTGTAAATAAATTAGTGTTATTGGTGAAAACTTATTTATTTCTTTATTGGATCATGTTATTTAAGTCATGGCAATTATGTGTGAAAAATAATATCACCCAAATGTCCACCAAATCTTCAGCAATGTTTATTGTTTTAGAAAGCAATGATTACGTCCAAAAGAAAATGGTGGCATAACCCAAAGGCCAAAATGCTTTTGTGTTGAATACTGCTTTTGCAGAAGAAAAAGAAAGAAAAGACAGACACTTTACCACTGAATGAGGTCAGCGAGGTCATGCAAATGAACTTCTGCTAACCAATCGTGGTTCAAGTGTCATGAAGTGGAATGGATTGCATAGAAAAATATGGTAAGCCATTACCATGCTCCAAGAATAGGAAACCCATAAACAACCCAACAAATTGTTATAAAAGCAACAGACTTTTTCTACCAACTGTGATTTTTTTTTTTGCGAGAAGGCTATGTGCACATGTGTGCATAGTTGAAGATTTAGACTTTGTGAACTTTTAATATACAGGCTTGGAGAATTTAACACTCACAGGGCATATTAATGTTAAGAGAAACAAAGGGAAACAGTAAATAGCTTAATGAGTCTGAGTAAAAGGACAGTAAAGAAAAAAAGTGTTGCTTAAAGTAACAAAAGACAGGAAGACGTGAGGAGCCATAAAATCCTGCATTGCTTTTCTTTAATATGCATGAATTTCAACAACTTATTGGCAAAGATAGAAGAATAGTTCCAAAGATTTGAATTCAGAGTTGTTGTTTTCAAGAATTGCTGCCATCTAAAGCTAGCAACCACAGTGTACCCTACTATTTAACGCATGGATAAGGACGGCAAGAGATAGAGTCATGCCTTTCTCATAAAAATACAATTTTGATTCAGCAATCTCATAATCTATCCTAACCAAAGATAAAAAAGAAGAAAATATCTCACCTCTTCAGGTTTTTGATTCCAACGTAAAATTGTATGTAGAAGAACTTTTACAGCATTTGGCACTTCTTCAAGAAGCTTAAACAATTTACTCAGTTCAGATGAATTCACATAGTGCAACAGTACAAAATTCTTTGTCCCTGTAAAAATAAATATTACATCAATGAAACAATTTTCATCAGAATAAAAAGCAGATATGTAATGTTGAATAGTTGTTTTCAAAAGAGAAATCAGACATAGCAGATCATATATAGATGAAAATGAGAGGTCAATACCAATTGTGGAAGGAGGTCAAGATAACAGAGAGAAGGTCATTAAAAGACAAGACTAGTCAAATTAAAATAAAAATGACAAGATTTCATCTGAGAAATTCACCCAAATTAGTACTACTACTACTAGGTGTAAAGAAGCAAGAGAAATATGATGAAAGACGAGTCACAAATGAATAATAATGACAAGACTTCATCTAAGAAATTCACCCAACTTAACACTACTACTACTACTACTACTAGGTGTATAGAAGCAAGAGAAATAAAATGAAAGAAAGACTAGTCAAAAATGAATAATAATGACAAGGCTTCATGTAAGAAATTCACCCAAATTAACACTATTACTAGGTTGGTTAATTTTGTTTTACAGCATATCAACCTCATTGGGCTACATAATACCGATAAGATTTTTAGGATAGGTTCGTATGAATAGAATATATATTCTTTGTAAGAAAACAGTTTGTAGATCAGGTTTCATTGATATATTTCTTGTGGAGAGGTGTTTTGTCAAGTGTCAAATGCATTGTTGGTATTTTTAGTGTAAAAATCTATTTTTATACTTTCATAGTGTTTTGACCCAGTTTGCTGGTTAAGTATTTGCTCATATGTGGGGATCCTAACAGGTCAGTGATAAATTGGGAACAGCAGCAATTAAGATGTGGTTCCACATTCCTCAAAACCTCCTAATCAGGACTATTACAAGAAAACGAAAATGAAGAGATCAAAAATTATTGGTACTTTTGGTATTCTACATATTATTCTACTAATATTCTAAAAACTGATTGTTGTAGCAAGAAACAAAAAGCTGAAACTGATGACATTCAACTTCACATTTTCCACCTACAGACACAATCCCAAAATATGGAGAATACACTTACCATTGATTTTTGTCAGATGCAAATTCAGGAAATCCATGATATAACTTTGAAGCAATAGACTTTGGTCGTTTATGCTGATCAGCTGGGATAAACTGGCAGGTAAGTTACTGCCTGTCATGACCTTTAAAACATCGCCAATGGAACCCACTGTGGCCACGGTCCTAAAGAACAAATCACACAATTTTAATAAATTATTTTTCTTTCTTTTCAAGGTTTATAATTTAAATAATCAAAATGCACACCAAATACAATTTAGAATGTTAAAAAATTAAAATTAATAAAATTTTTTAAAAATTACAAAATCATATTAAATAAAAATTTAAATCACTATATTTAAAATTCTAACTTATTCATATATACTTCTTCATTTTGGAAGAATTGAAATTAAATTTTATTTAACAATATTTAAAATAGAAGTAGTAATTACATTGATTATATATGTTATATTGTTGCCAATTTATATTTTTAATTTCATGTGATTGTGGAGAATATGGCAGCAACATATTCTCTGCAGTCGTCAATGATGACATGTCTATGTGCTGATTTATTATGACACGAAAAATAACTCACCCACTTCCACCCTGTAACTTTATTTTTCTATTTAGCATAGATCTGACATGTAATTGGTTAATTAAGACATACCCCCAAGTCTATTTTTAATTCTGACCTTATGACCCCATCTCTTAACTTTCAGAAAAGAGGTAACAATTTGTTTTTAAATTTCCCTAAAAAATCATTTTATCACCAGTTACCTAACATTGCCTGAGGAAGTACAATCATAGTATTGAAACATGAAAGCTTTTGTGTAGCGAGTTTTGTTTTTATTACAATCTCTTATAATAAAAATATAATAATAATATATTGCTCTACTTTGTATTGAGCACTTTTTTAAAAAGTTAATGCTACGAACAGTGGATTTTTACTCCATCTATTCTTTCTCTCATTTTTGTGTGTTGTGTGTGTGTGTAAATATATATATATATATATATTTTTTTTTTTTCTTGAAGAGTCACATTTGCTCATGAAACTTATCTTAACATAAACAATGACAACATATGATGAAATACATTAAGTCCGAAAATTATATATTTTCTGTTTATGTGTTATTTTTATAGATACAAAATATTCGAGAAATTTAGTAGAAAATATGGATTCACTGACAGGAATCAAACCTGTATTCCTCTACAGAAACCGTCATTTAATTACATTACTAGTCTGAAATTTCTTGAACATTCAGGTCAGTAAATGTAATTAATAATGTTTAATTACAAACAGAACATTTACTGTATAACAAAATATATTAAATAATTGTTGGATTTAATCCAATTCATTATATGTTGTTTATATATATAATTATTATTATTTATAAAAAATTATAACATAAGTATGTTATATATTATAAGTATGTTATGTTATATTGTTTTTTTTATAAATAATAATTATATCAACGTTTCTACTTTGTATTGAGCACTCTTTTAAGAATAGTAATTGTTGGTTATTGGAATTCATTCTATATATTAAATTATATATATATATATATATATATATATATATATATATATATATATATATTATGCTTATTGGAAAGTGTTCAATATCAGTGACAGCTTTAACATATTTGTGAATTTTGGTTTTCATTCTTATGTGATCCCCATGTTGAAAACTCATATTCATTCAAGTAAATATATAAAAAAATAAATATATCTACTATCCTCACCAGTAGTTTCATGCACAATGCAATCTTTATTAAAATATAAATTATGTAACAGTCAGTCTCTACTCAGCAACTGAAGATAAATGATTTTGCATCATAAAAAATATATTTACTTTGAGGGATAATATGCATATTAATTAATATATATTTAATTTATAAATGTTATATTGCATTGAGCACTATTTTATTATACCAGGACACAAATTGATATATATGAAAATGTATATAAATATAAATAAATATATATATGTATAATTATTTATATATTATATGTGAAAGCGTGAAACCCAGGGTCACAAACTCACATCTATCCAACCAAATATAAATTAAATTTTTCAAATTTTTTAAATTACTTGCTTTATGCTATTGGTAAATGTGCCAAATTTAATATTTTTTTATTTTTATTTTATTTTTTTCCAAGTACTTCTGAATTTCACTACATTCATTTTCAGTGATTGTTCTGTGTATATTTATATAATATTGTCAAGCTCTATCAATTTTGTATTCAATTTTTCAAATTGTTTTGTGTTATCTGTAAATTTGTCAAAGTTCATATTTATTTTTGTTCTATATCATTTTTATATATAAAAAAAACAAAAGCAAGTAAAATCAACGCACCTATTAATATCAAAATCTGTCAAAAATGATGACCATCTTGCTTGTAAAAGTTTTACTGTTCTCAAGTATGACATCATATCCAGCCAACCTTTTGGCTGAAACTTGGCCATATAGACAACTGCCAATTTCTGGAACTTTTCAATCGTTGCAACTAAAGAAGTGTAATTGACATTCATGGGAACAGAAGACAGACCTTGTTGATTCAGTTGATTTAACTGGAATGATAAGTCAAAAAATGTTTCAAAATTTCACATATTTGAAGAAATAAAGAAATGAAGTTCTAAAGAAGTTGAATAAAAATATTAAAAAAATTTCAAAATAGAAACAATTTCTTCACAGATGAAGAAGAAACTTGAATCTCAAGAAAAATATTAAAAAAAAAATAGCACTGAACTGTTATGTAATATCAGTAATTATCAGTTATTCTAATATAAGTGAATGAATGGACAATCTCCCTCAGAAATGAAGAAGAGACTTGAACAACAAGAAAAAAAAAAAAAAAAAAGTACTGAACTGTTATGTAATATCAGTCCTAATATATGGCAGTGAATACTGGACAATCTTAAATATATTTGATGAAGAAGAGACATGAAATAATTTTTCAAAACAAAAAAAAAAAATACTGAACTGTTACGTAATATCAGTCCTTCTATACAATTTGAATACTGGACAATCTCCTCACAGATTGAAGAAGAGACTTGATTAAGAGAAACAAAGAAAAAAAGATACTGAACTGTTATGTAATATCAAATTTATATATGGCAGTGAATACTGGACAATCTTTTCAAAGATGAAGAAGAAAACATGAAGCAAAGAAACAAAAGAAAAATACTGAACTGTTACGAAATATATCAGTCCTTCTATATGGCAGTGAATACTGGACAATCTTTCACAGATGAAGAAGAGACTTGAAGCAAGAGAAACAAAAGAAAAAAAAAAAGTACTGAACATTTATGTAATATCAGTCCTTCTATATGACAGTGAATACTGGACAATCTCCTCACAGATGAAGAAAAGACTTGAATTTTTAAAGAGAAACAAAGAAAAAGAGTATTTGAACTGTTATATAATATCAGTCCTTCTATATGACAGTGAATACTGGACAATCTCCTACAGATGAAGAAGAGACTTGAATCAACAATTATTAAAAAAAAAATTCTTAGTACTGAACTGTTTTTAATATCAGTCCTCCTATATGGCAGTGAATGCTGGACAATCTCCTCACAGATGAAGAAGAGACATGAAGCAAGAGAAACAAAGAAAAAGTACTGAACTGTTACGTAATATCAGTCCTTCTATATGGCAGTGAATACTGGACAATCTCCTAAATAGATGAAGAAAGAACTTGAAGCAAAAAGAAACAAAAAAAAGAGTACTGAACTGTTATGTAATATTAGTCCTCCTATATGGCAGTAGAATACTGGACAATCTCCTCACAGATGAAGAAGAGACTTGAAGCAAGAGAAACAATGAAAAAAGAGTACTGAACTGTTATGTAATATCAGTCCTTATATATGACAGTGAATACTGGACAATCTAATCACAGATGAAGAAGAGACTTGAAGCAAGAGAAAAAAAAAAAAAAAATACTGAACTTTTTATGTAATATCAGTCCTCCTATATGGCTAGTGAAAATATGGACAATCTCCTCACAGATGAAGAAGAGAAATAATTCAAAAGCAAGAGAAACAAAAAAAAGTACTGAACTGTTACGTAATATTTTTCCTTCTATATGGCAGTGAATACTGGACAATCTCCTCACAGATGAAGAAGAGACTTGAAGCAAGAGAAAAAAAAAAGAGTACTGAACTGTTATGTAATATCAGTCCTTCTATATGACAGTGAATACTGGACAATCTCCTCACAGATGAAGAAAGAGACTTGAAGCAAGAAAAAAAAAAAAAAAAAAAAACTGAACTGTTATGTAATATCAGTCCTTCTATATTACAGTGAATACTGGACAATCTCCTCACAGATGAAGAAAAGAATGAAACAAGAGTGAAAAAAAAAAAAGATTACTGAACTGTTATGTAATATTCTTCCTTCTATATGGCAGTGAATACTGGACAATCTCCTCACAATGAAGAATAGACTTGAAACAAGAGAAACAAAAAAAAGAGTACTGAACTGTTATGTAATATCAGTTCTTCTAATATGGCAATTTGAATACATTTGGACAATCTCCTCACAGATATCGAAGAAAGACTTGAAGCAAGAGAAACAAAAAAATTCATTACTGAACTGTTTGTAATATCAGTCCTTCTATATGACATTATGAATACTGGACAATCTTATTTCAAGATGAAGAAAAGACTTGAATTAACAGATCAAAAAGTAATGGTTGTTATGTAAACAAGAAGGATGCTGAGAATACAATGGATGGAATATGCATTTTTTTTTTTAATTATTTTAAAAAAAAGGAAATAATAAAGACACTTAAAATCAGAAATTAAAATTATTTTGACTCATAACAAGGAAAGAAGACTTGACGAATCTGACATTCATGATACATATATAAAAATTGCTATGTTTTATTAAAAGAGGAATATAAGTATGTTTTTTAATAAAGAAAAAAACTAAGTTGTGTAAATAATGAAGGGAAATAATGAAAAACAAAAAAATACAAACTAGGATGGGATTATTAATATTGATATATTGAATTACCACAGATTTAAACATTTTTTTTACGCCCTGAGCAATTTTAGAATTTCATCACTAGGATGCATTACTTTACAGAAGATTTGGATCAAGAGCAGATTGGGATGATAGAAGAAAGGATGAGGAGAATATAGATGGAAAATGACATTAAAAGTTTAACTGGAGGTGTTGATTGACATTACATTTGAATAGTTGGTGATTACCATTTCAAGGAAAGATATATAATTGGGAAAATTTGTTCCACAGTTAAAAGAATGTGACACCCTAATATAAAAACATTTAGAAAGAATATTTATTTTTAAAAGTTTATTTTCATTAATTCAGTTTGTGGAACGGGATGGCATAAAAAAGATAATTTTTTTGAATTCATGGAGTTTAATGGGAAAAAAGAGAAATCAGCTCATTTATTAAAAGCAGAATAAAAAATTCATTAGGACAATACATCTTTATTTCACATCTATTTTTTTTTTTTAAAAAAAAAATGACTTTTGTCTCACTAGTTTAGATCTTTAAATATTAAAACAGGAGATGCCGTGCCACTTGCATAAAGTTGAATCACCCTCATTACCCTATATTTATATTCATATATATTTTCCTCAAGATTGAAGCTTTTTTAAGTTGTTGGAACAAATTCAAAAAATTTAAATTAATTTTATTTGACTCCTATAGCATCTTGGCATTTGAAACATAATTTTCCCACCATCATAAATTTTTATTTTTTTGCCATTTTATATTTATCATTTGATTTAATTTTTCTTTAGATTTTCTAATTTAAATCCCATCACAGATGTTGAAAAATATTAAACAATCATTAAAATCAAAATATGAAAAATATTTCTTCAGAAATCTAAATATATATATAAATCTTCCCAGTCATATATATGAAAACCTATATAAAACTTTAAATATATATATTCAATTATTTTTTTTTTTTTTTTTTTTTTTTAAGCGTTTCACCCCAAGCAAGGCGGGAAGCCACTAAGACGCAAGGGGTTACAGAAAATTTGGAGCGAGATCAGATAGGAGTGATAGAAAAAAGGATGAGGAGAAGGGTAGTGAATAGATCAAGGCATCTGGAGATGTCGATTGACATTACATTTGAATAGCTGGAGATTATAGCTCTCAGGGAAACTAGAATAGGGGAGGGAGTTCCACAGGCGAGAGGTGCGAGACATGAAGCTATTGGAGTAGAAGAGACGGCTACATTTAGGAGTTTCGACAGTGAAAGAGTGAGAGCGGGATGCCAGCCTCGTCGGGCGCTGGAACTCATGAAGTCTGGGAACCAGCGAATGCAGCTTCTCGGAGCAATTCCCATGAAAGTATTGTAAAACAGACAGAGAGAGGCGACGGCGCGTCTGTGAGAAAGTGACTGTAGACGAGATGCCAGAGCAGGGCCAATTATATTGCATATCCGCCTCTGGAGCCTATCAAGAACCCCTGAGGCAAACAGAAGGGGCTCCAGACCATATATGGCAGCAATACTCCATGCAAGGGCGAATTGTTGATTTGTAGATCTGGAGGATCGATTCTGGGAGAAAAATTTCCTGGCGCGGCACAGGGAGCCAACTTTCCTTGTGGTGTGGACGAAGCAATTGACTCAATGTATTTGTTCCATCTCAGGTCAGCAGTCAACGTGAGACCGAGCAGCCGCAGAGAGTTGCTCTCGAGAAGTTGAGCGTCAGACATTCTAATGGAGGAAAGGAAAGGATCTCTGTGGTGATTAATTCCATTTATTTTTTTTTTTATTGTCCTTTATATAATAATTTTTTCATTCATTTTCACACATTTTTACACTCAGTTAACTTCTTGAATTCTTAGTGGATTTAAATTTTTTTTTTTTTTTTTTTTTAATTAACGAAAAAAAAAAAATGTACAATCCCAATTTTTATATCCAAGTTAGACGGTTCCAGTAAGAGACAGTTTGAATGTTATCTAGATTATTTTTACTTTTAATCCTAACTTAAACAGGCTAAAAATTGTAGCATCGGAGAAATTTTTTTTGGAGTAAAGTTTACGAAAATGGTTCCAACGCTCAAGATTATGCTTATATTGATTGTTTACAATCTTAACCTGTTAAAGTCTAGGGTTGAAATGGTTAAAATTCATCATCTTTGGAGAAAAAAACTTTAGGTCTGATGATTTTTGATATAAGTTTTTTAATTTGACATATTTAAAGTTTGCCTAAATATGGGTAAGGGTCTGCAAGGAATATAGTCAACTGGATATTCTTTCAGCTTAAATCCTTCAAAAATTTTAAATGTGATGTCAATCATCATCATCTGTTTTTTTTTTATCTTGTTCTTTTATTGTCCTTTCTCCTCAACATTGTTTTCTCAATTAAACAAGAACTTTTTTCTAGGAAACCCTTTGCATCTTAGTGGACATTGCCAATATTATTTTTTATAAATTTAAAAACAAATACTTTGAAGCAGCTGAGGCAATCCATGAATTGATGAAAGTAATTCTGGGATCGGAGATGTAATATTCAAATGCTGCAGGACATCATTACAGAGCATGGACTGTACATGGGTCATATTTTTAGAAGGATAAAGCAGCTTTGGTACAAATATTTCCTGAAACACTGTAATATTAGAACACATTTTCAACCAAAGACTGTCCTGGAACCATAATGAAATCTGAAAGCAAAAAAAAAACAAATAAAATATAGAGGTTCTATTTTAGTGATTTCTGATGGTTTTGAAATCAAAAAATATTTTTAAAAAATAGTCGATGATAACCCAAATAACTCCAATAATCTGTCAGCTAGTACAAGGTTTTGGTTTGGTTTGGTTTGTTTTATGGCACATCAACCTCAATGGGTTATTTAATGCTGACAACATTTTAAGGATAAATTATAAATAGAATATGTATTCTTTGGTTTAGATTGGTTTGGTTAATATTTTATTTTTAATATCAACCTCAATGGGTTATTTAATTCAATGACAACAATTTTAGGATAGATTAATTATGAATAGAATATGTAAAATTTGGTTTAGATTGGTTTGTTTATATTTATTTTGTTTTAAGCCATATCAACCTCAATATATTATTTAATATCAACAACATTTTAGGATATATATATATGAATAGAATATATATATATATTTTTGGTTTGAAATTGGCCAATTGGTTTATTTTGTCAATACGGCATATCAACCTCAATAGGTTATTTAATGCCGACAACGTTTTTTTTAGGATAGATTCGTATGAATAGAATATGTATTCTTTGGTTTAGATTTTTTTGCTTTATTTTGTTTTAAGCCCTATCAACCTCAATGGGTATATTTAATGCCGACAACATTTTTAGGGATATATTCATATTAATAGAATATGTATTCTTTGGTTTAGATTGGTTTTTTTTTATTTTGTTTTACTTGCATATCAACCTCAATGGGTTATTTAAATGACAACATTTTTAGGATAGATTCGTATGAATAGAATATGTATTCTTTGGTTTAGATTGGTTTGGTTTGTTTTGTTTTATGGCACATCAACCTCAATGGGTTATTTAATACCAACAAGATTTTTATTGCTGGTAATATTTTTTCCCCAAAATGTATTACTTGTAATATTTTTTCTTTTTTCTCAAAAATGTATTGCTGATAATATTTCAATTTCTTTCAAAATGTAAATTGGTAATAATTTTTCCTTAAAATATTCATTGCTGGTAATATTTTTTAAAAAAATATATATGCTGGTATCAAAACTCATTTTACACTTTCACAGTGTTTGAAATCCAGTTTGGTGTGTGTGTGTGTGGGGGGTTAACTATTTGTCCATTGCTGGGACCCTAACAGGTACTACCACTCTGTGTCAGGGTGGACCTGGAAACACCAGCAATTAAGAGATGGTTCCACGCTCCTCAAAACCTCCTGATCTGAGGCCTTGCTGTTGGATATAGTTTATTGTCATACCCAGGACACAGATGTAGTTTATTGTCATACCCGGGGCAGATACAAGGTTTCATTATGGCTTTAAAAATAGACATTTTATAACTATATACCATAAATTTTAGTGTACAAATCCAGTTTTCAAGTCTAAAAAATATTTCCTAAACTAGTGGTCATGGCAAATATAGAATACAAAACTTTATCATTGATTAGTATGGTACCACATGTTGTATTTTGTTTGTTATACAGAGTAAATAAATAAAAATCTTGTCACACCCTACATAATATAATTTTCTATTTCAGATAGCTGACATGAGCTTCCTAGAGTTTGGAAAATTAAAAACTAAATTAGCTGTTTTTAATTTTAATATTAAATTTTATCATATAATTTAGTAATTATTGGTTAGAATAAATTCTTTTTTAATACTACCCATATTTTAAACATCTGAATAGCTATTATAACATGACTTCGTTGTCAAGCTTTTTGAATTTTCCTATACTTGTATTTTGATTGGTCCATCTAGCTTTTGTAACAATGTTTTCCCCCTTGTGAAGGATTGTTAATTAATTTGAACTTTTAAAACCATTTATTTTACATTCAACATCATCACTTGATAAGATTTTTGAGGGTGTTGAAACAAAATGGCTATTTTTGTAGTGATTTTATAACATATTTATGTTATAAATTTTTTTAAAATAAATAATATATATATATATATATATATATATATATATATATATATATAAAAAGAGGTTATAGTAGTTTCAATGAGAGAAAAGTGTGTATATTAAAAAGAAGAGAGAAACTGCAAATGTTTTCGGTTGTAATGTGGTTGTATTTCAAAAACCGTACAATCAATTCACACAAAATTTTCACCCAGTGTTGGCAACACTGATCTGTGCAATTACTGAAATTTTTGTACTGATCTGTGCAATGTAAATAAACTGTCACCATATTTGTTATCAGCACGGTGATTTGAGCGTGCCAAATTATTAGAAAAGTCTAAGAATTTAGTGAAATGATGGGCCGTAAAAGCAGTTTAAGTGATGCTGAAAAGAAAATTATCACCTCAGAACTCTCCAAAGGTAAATCTACCCTAGAAATTTCTAAAATGATAGGGAGGTGTCATCAAACAGTGAAAAAGTTCACTGCCGACCCTACACAAGTACGCAATAGGACAGATACAGGCAAGCCGAGAGTCATTTCACGTCGTCTCATGTCATGACTTAAATGAGAGGCCACGAATAACCCTGGACATTTTCAGTTGCATTGGGGATCCTACTATGTCTAAAAGTACTCGGTGTCTGTATCTGAGGGAAATAGCAACAACAGTCAAACCTGTATCAAAGCCTCCGTTGATGAGAAATCACATTCAAAATTGATTGAAATGGGCTGAGGGCAATATGAAGATTGACTTCTCTAAAGTTTGTTCACAGACGAAACTCGAGCAACACTTGATGGGCCAGGTAGATGGTGCAAAGGCTGGGTAATGAACGGACAGAATCACCATCAGCGTTTGAGACACCAACAAGGCAGTGGAGGCAAAATGATCTGGGGTGGTATTATTGGAAAAACATTAGTGGGCCCATGGAGAGTACCACATGGCGTCAAAATGACTACTGATACATACATAGTGTTTATGAAGGAGCATCTTGAGCCTTGGATAAAAAGGCAAAGAGTTGCCTTCAGAAGGGCCATTGATTTTATGCAAGATAATGCTCCCTCACATGCTGCCCACAAGACTACTGAATGTTTGAAACAGTTAGGCTTTGATGAACCACAAAAAATGAAGTGGCCAGCAAATTGTTCGGAGTTGAACCCAATCGAAAACCTTTGGAGCATCATGAAGCGAAGACTACGCTAATGGATGACAATTCAGGAGCAACGCTGAGTTGTGGGAAGCAATTCTTGACATATCTCATGGCATTACAGCAGATGACATCCTACAATTAACTAAATTCTATGAATCGTCGACTTCTTCAAGTAATTTCAAAACAGGGGAAGCACATTCCCTATTAATTTGTTTAAAACTGTGCCTTTGTTTGTATCTGTTATTATTTGTTTGATTATCTTATTAGCTTCTTTTGATCATAAACATTCACGCGCAACATTAATAAATGTTTTGTTTGCTCAATTCTGGTAATTTTACTAAAACTTTCTAATAATTTGGCATGCTCAAATCACTGTGCTGATAACAAATATGGCGCCAGTTTGTTTTGCATTGTGCAGATCAGTATGAAAATTTCAGTGATTGCGCAGGTCAGTGTTGCCAACATTGTGTGAAAATTTTGTCTGAATTGATTGGATGGTTTTTGAAATATTAGAAAAATGTTATCTTGATGATAATTTGATAATACCAGTATATATATATATATATATATATATATATATATATATAATGCAATAAAAAAGGCGATTATCTCTCATTGGTAAAGATAAAGTTACATGTGTTACTTAATAGATTCTTCAGTCAGTTTCCAGGTGTCAAACCGAGCAATTGTTTTTGGTTTTTTTAAGCCCAGGCCGCTCAACTTCCACTTCTAAATCTGCCTTCTTCAGCAGCTTACATGTCCTCACAAGTGATATAGCAGATGAATCCAGCCCACTTGAATCTGGAATCTCCAGAAACACAGAAGAATCTCAGGCAGACACAATTCCTGTTGGGAATTATTACAAAGTAAGATCCTATCTTTTTTTTTATTCCTTTTCACACTGCTTGTTGTATCAACATGTACTATAATTTCTTGGTGTGGGCCAATTGTAAATATTTATATATAATTTTGTGTATGACTTAGTGGTATAAAACTTTCTGAGAACAAAGCAGGTTTGACATTCCTTTTAGCTATTCCATTGCATCTGTGGAATAAGGTGTTATTATATCACAGATATAATAATGCCCATAATGGGGAAAATACAAATGGAAGAATATTCACTTTCTCCCACAGTGCCTGCATTAAAGCAAAATGTTCACAAAGTAGGAATAAGGTTTGCATGTAAAAGGGATACAGTCAAGTGATTATAGCCTCCTGACTTCAAAGCAAGAAAGACCAAAAATGTGTGGACAAGACAAAGAACTGCTACTTTTTTTTTTATTGTTTAGGAAGAAATCCCAGCATGCATCTGTAGGATTTGTCTAGAAATTCAGGGAAGGAATGTTTTAGCAGTCATTCCCACTGACATTGTAACTCATTTACCTTTTGGGGTTGCTGAATCATCTGCCAAAAAGTACTTAGTAGGAGGTCAACAAGTGTAGGACTCTGTTCAAGAAGGTCAATAAATTGTGTGATGGTTGGTGACTGGAAATAATTTTTTAGATCTGTTGTACCTGTTAAGAGAGAGAAGAAAAAAGCATGTTAGTCACAATAAGAAAAGTAAATTGCTTACTTATATTCAAATTATATTTCTATTTGAATTTCTTGGTTGAGGAGTTATTATTGTTCACTCTTGTAGTTATAGAACATTTTGGCTATTATTCCTTCTGAGCTTCATCAGGTAAATATTGATCTGGGTAACCTACAAGAACTTTGAAGTGAAACTTTTATTTAAACTACAGAGGTGGATTGTTCTTGTTCCATTGCCCATGTTCAGGGATACTTTTTCTAGATCCATATTATTTTCATACTACTCAGTTATTGCTTGTTCCTTGGCCAGGAAAGTGTATAATTAAACTACAGACATGGATTGTTCTTGTTCAATTGCCTATGTTTAGGGATATTTTGTCTAGATCCATATTATTTTAATACTACTCAGTTATTGCTTGTTCCTTGGCCAGGAAAGTGTATAATTAAACTACAGACATGGATTGTTCTTGTTCAATTGCCTATGTTCAGGGATACTTTGTCTAGATCCATATTATTTTAATACTACTCAGTTATTGCTTGTTCCTTGGCCAGGAAAGTGTATAATTTTAACTACAGAGGTGGATTGTTCATGTTCCATTGCCCATGTTTAGGGATATTTTGTCTAGATCCAAATTATTTTAGTACTACTCAGTAACTTGTCCCTTGGCCAAGAAAGTGTATAATTAAACTGTATTTGGATTGTTCTTTCAAAAAATTGCCCATGTTCAGGGATACTTTTTCTAGATCCATATTATTTTAGTACTACTCAGTTATTGCTTGTCCCTCAGCCAGGAAAGTGTATAATTAGACTCAATGGAAACAATAACCCACATGGAAATAATTAACTGTATTTATTGCAACAGAAGCTAAAAGCAATCCTGACAATTCTTTTTCCAAAAATGTTTTGAAGCTGCAATAGGACATTATGTCTACCTCACCCAGTATTTGCATTTTTTTTTTAACCCTGATCCAAAACTTTGGTCTTAGAGAAACAGTGAAACAAGACTTTTTTTTACTGGGCAAAATATTAACCCCTTTTTTGGATAAAGAAAATATAGTAACCCTGTTTGGCTAGGAAAATTATATTAACCTATTTTGGATGAGAAAATAACCCTTCTTGGTTGTAGGCGGATATATTGACCTGGTGTCGAATGAGAGGGGTTATATTGACCTTGTTTTGGATGGAGGGTATATTGACCCAGTTTTAGGCAAGAGAAAATGTATTAACCCTGTTTTTGTGAGAAAATATATTATTTTGGATGGGTTGGGGATTAAATATATTAACCCTGTTTTGGGTGGTGGAGAAAATATATTAACTTTGTTTTGGGTGTGGGAGGAAAAATATGTTAACCCTGTTTTAGGCGGGTAAAAAATATATTAACCCTGTTTTGGGCAGTGGAAAAATATTAAACATTTTTGGAAGAGAAAAATATATTAATCCTTTTTGGGCTGCAACAATATATTAAACCTGTTTAAACAAGAAAACATCAACCATGTTCAGGCAAGAAAATTATGAAGATCCTTTCTGGTTGGGTGAAAAAGAATTATTTTAATTGCTAATTAAAAATGATAAAAGCAATAATGTAGTATAGCCCCCCCCCTTTATAATGTGGTAGTCTTGGTGACAATCTTCATTCACTCATATTGTTTTTTTCTTTCTCGACTGCTGATTGCCAGTTGATTTGTTTGAAGATAAAAGAGACATCAACCAAAGGGAATTTTAAATCTTAACTATTTTTAATCACCACATCATATCTTCTAACTAGCCATTGGGGTCACTATCCCACCCCACTGGGAAGCAGTTTCCAGACATGATATAACACATCTACATTCTTCAATGTGTAAAACTTAACTCACTGAAATCCTTTTCTATCTCTAACATTACCATGCTAGTTTTAGCCAATCAAAAACGACTTCCTTTTTTTTCCTGTATCTGACCTCAAAGGTCAAAATGAGGAAGTCAGAAGAGAAATACAATTCTCCAAATAATAATAGTCTGCTAGACTATTATTTAACAACAATGAAATTCAATGAAAGTTTATTAAATAATAATAAAGAATTAAGAATATAGAATATTGCTGCCCCATCTGGCCTGGTGCTCCTGCTATATATTTAGAGATTCTTGATAAATTTCAAAGAAGAATCTGTAATGTAATTTGTCCTGACCTGGCATCTCAGCTTCAGTCACTTACACACCACCATAAAATAGGTTCCCTGTGTCTTTTCTATAGATATTTCACAGTAATTGTTCAAATGAACTCTTCACCATGGTACTAAGACTTTATGACTTTTAAGTGCAGTACTAGATTGGCAGTAAAGTCATCAATTCACAGTTAAATTGGCTAGATGTAAACATAATCTCCATGCTAATAGTTACTTTTCTCACACTTTTCACTTGTGGAACTCTATTCTGGCTCCATGCTTTCCAGCATATAAAGTGTAATGATAAGTTCTATGCTAACAGTTTCTTCTCTCACACTTCTTGCTTGTGGAACTCTCTTCCAGCTTCTTGCTTCCCAGTAAATTTTGATCTTCAAAAATTTAAATTCAATGTCAATCAATATCATCTGTCTTGTCCTTTAATTGTCCTCTCTCCTTAATAGTAGTTTTTCTCATATTCTCTAACACTCAATAACCCCTTGCGTCTTAGTGGTTTTATTGCCTTTGATCTTCAAAAATTTAAATTCAATGTCAATTGTTATCATGTGCATTCTTAATTCTTGTCCTTTTATTGTTCTCTCTCCTTAATAGTGTTTTCTTTTCTCTCATATTCTCTAACACTCTGTAATCCCTTGCATCTTAGTAGCTTGATTACCTTCCTTGGGGTGGAATGATTTAACAAATAAAAAATAGGTTGACATTAATGTAATCAGAATAATTGACCTTTTATGAATGTAAAAGAAGTAATCTTTTATATTGACCTAAGGGTTGCTTCTCAGTCTAGAGTGTCAAACTTTAATTTTTCAAAAGATGATAGGCAACACTTTTCATGCTCTCTTGTGCTTTGTCAATTCAAGAACTGGAAAGGCAGCATTAGCTTTATTTCTATTTATTTCTATTCTTTTTTGTTTGTTTGTTTTACCCCTAATACAAGTCTCAAGAGTTAAGGTAGAGAGTTACTAAATTGAGATGTTGTAAGCGCATACACAGAGGGAGTAAGAAGTGCCCATTATGAGGATAGGTAGGATAGATAATGGTTAACCTGAGACTTGAAGAGGTTAAGATTGTAATGATCAAAGAAATATCTTCTTGGGAGTCTGTTACATAATGCAACATTTCTGTGGAAAAAGCTTTATGAGAAGAACTTTATCATCGCCAATGGAATTTGACTGGAATGAGAATGAGTTGGCTCAGTATATGTAGCCTGGCATTTGCTAGGTATAAGAGTTTATTTTGTGGAACCAAGTAATGTTGTTTAGGTGAGTGACATTACTTGATTCTACCAGTTCAGACTTTAAAAATATTGCGCATTTTATATAAGAATTTTTTTTTTTTTACAGGTTTTGTAAAAAGATGTTCATGATTTTCGGAGGATTCTTTCCTACCCAGGATAAGAAAAACAGATGAGAAATCACAGATAAATGAAGGGATATTTTCTAGATATCAATTTATAAATCAGTGGTTCTTAATCAGGTGTGCAATATCAGTTCCTGTGGGGGTGTGAGGATATTGAATCATTTACGGTTGGTTTATTAAGGAAACTCTAGTGTAGTGTTTGGTGATCAGACAGAAAAGTTTACATTGTAGAAATTTTGCCAATTGCTACCATATAGTGTAAATGTATACTTAGGTAAAAAAATTAGCAAAAATTGCCAATAAAACTGTGGGGAAGTTGGAAATAATGCAGTCAGAAGTTTGTTTTGATAACAAGTGAAGATACTGCTCAAATACTGTTGACATGTATTTGCTCAAATGTGATGTTTAAATATTGTTGAACTGTGTTTGTGCTTACATATAACTATTTATGTGTGTCGGGGATGATATAAATATTATTGATATTTTCTGAAAGGAATTTGAATCATAAGAAATTACATGTTAATTGTTACTGTGTTAGTTCATAAACAACTAAAGACAGTTATAGGTGAGATTTAATATTTGTTAAAGTTTAGTAATTGTTCTATTGTGACATTTTGATAAAGATTACCAAATATAAAACTTTATAAAAAATGGCAATATTTAATTTTAAATTGTACTGAAAAAGAACTATGAGCATAATGCACTTTGAGTTGTGCAGTAATGGTTGCAGTTGGCCATTTTTTTTTTTTTTACACATAAAATCAATACTATTTTTCATCAATTCTGAAAGGGGTGTGAGAACCAATTGGTGGTTTGAAAGGAGTGCTAGAACCAATTGGTGGTTTGAAAGGAGTGCGAGAACCAATTGGTGGTTTGAAAGGAGTGCAAGAACCAATTGGTGGTTTGAAAGTGGGGTTGAAAAGTGATTGGTTGTTTGAAAGTGGTACGGAGGAAAAACCAATTGGTGGTTTGTCTTAAATTCAGATGCATACTCAACAAATTTCAGCCAATTGGTGGTTTGAAAGAGGTCTGTGAACTGGTGGGTGGTTTGAAAGTGGGGTTGAAAAGTGATTGGTTGTTTGAAAGTGGTACGGACAAGGAAAAGGGTTAAGAATCACTGTTGAAAATTGTCAAATAAATTACATGTCTTACAATTCAGATCAGCATACTCATCTTGGTTGCTGTACTTACAACATTTCAGCCATTGCTTCTTCTATTCACAACATTTCAGCCTTCATACACTCTTTGGAATTTTAAACCAAACCCTTTATTCAATCCATGGGGAGAGATTCTTCCCTTTTTGCTTTCTATGCATAGGGAATATTTTATATCAACATGGTTTGTCAGCAAAAGAGATTGCCTAAGATGCAAATTACAAATTGGTGATATCAAAATCTAGCAATTACCAAAATTTAAATATCTAAGGAGTATTTTAACTGCGGACAGAAAATGTGATACTGAAATCCAAAGGTGCATTTGGACAGTGAAGAACATCTTTGTAATGAAACATATTAATGAACAGGAAAATATTGTTAGAAACAAAGAAAAGAGTACGAAACAGTTGTGTATTGTCAATCCTCCTGTATGGCAGAGAGTCTGGACAATCTCCTCACAGATGAAGAAGAGACTTGAAGCAACAGAAACAAAGAAAAGAGTACTGAACTGTTATGTATATATCAGTCCTCCTATATGGCAATGAATACTGGACAATCTCCTCACAGATGAAGAAGAGACTTGAAGCAAGAGAAACAAAGAAAAGAGTATTGAACTGTTATGTAATATCAGTCCTCCTATATGGCAGTGAATTCTGTGCAATCTCCTCACAGATGAAGAAGAGACTTGAAGCAAGAGAAACAAAGAAAAGTGTACTGAACTGTTATGTAATATTGGAATTTGAACCAAACTATTTCATCCACAGTGGTATATTGTTCTAGTTCCACATGCCATGCTTTTTCCAGATATCTCAGTATGAGTTTTAACTCAAGTCCCTAAGTTTTTGAAGTAATCCAATGACTTGACCCAAAGTGTTGTGAGTTCAATACCTGGCTACAGCAAAGGTGAACAAAAACTTGTAGAGTTGAAAGGGAGATATCCAGAAAAGGCATGTCATGTGGAACTAGAACTGGTGGATGCAATAAAGAGTTTGGTTCAAAATTCCAATCATCTCAAGATGGCCAGAGTGAACAATGTAAAAGGTGTAAATAATTACAATACCTCCTCTCAGAAATATTGACAGATATCTCAATAAGAGATATTGAAAAACATATTGCCGTATTTGTGTTGCTATAGATAATATAGCAGAGAACTCTGAATTCCAAACTGTGAATAGAATAAAGAAAAGGAAGCTGTAGAGAGCCATGGTTTTCCTACAGTCTTAAAGAATATAGCAAATGAAGAATAGAATTTTCCACATAATGTAAAATGCTTATTTTCTGTTCTGCAGAAAGGATGTTCCTCTCTTTCATTTAAAAAGTTTGACATACCATTTAATTGTTCCAAATGTAGAGTTATAAACTCCAAGACCTTCTGGCTTGACAACACCTGAATGTAATACTGCTGATGCTGCCACTTGAAAGAAATTGGTAGAAAATCATAGATGTTTGTCCATAGTTTGTCAATTACAGGAAGCACAAGTGGTAAGCTGTAAAAGAAAAGAGAGAGAAATAATGACCAATGAAAGCAATGCAACTTTGATAGGCAGGCAGATTAGATTAGATGGATACTACACTCTGATCTTTGGTAGAAAAGTCTAATGGTCATAGATAGAAACAAGCAGAATAATACTATAGATTCATAGTCAAAACTGGTTCTAGTTGAGAATAACCAGGCAATCAAACAGATGTTACACTTTGATCCTTACTCAAAAATAATAAGCATATAGATTATTGCTGAAACTAAGAGCAATATTTAGCATCAATATGTTCAACAAAATCTACTCACCCAGTTAGCATGCGAGAATTTGTGTATTTTGACCATTCAGCTTTAAGATGTTGAAGAAATTGTGAAACCATCGTATTGTTAGTAAGCATCAAGGTCTTTTGCCAATTCAAGGAATTAACAATGTTTTGGAAAGTGATGTGAGCATTGATGAATTGAGATAGGCTGATTCTTGTGTGATTTACCAGAAACAAATTAGACTGAAGAACGTCAGAGACCTGAAAAGAGAAAAATAAGCATTCAGGTGCAGATTAATATGTTTGAAATAGAGGAAAATTCAAACTAATTAGATTTTTATGGTTTATCAACCTTTTGCAGGTTATTAATACAAGAAAATATTTTTGGATTTTAAAAATATTTTTGTGATAATAATGATTTACTGATACATTATCTACTATTTAACCCATAGCTGGCATGAGAAGCTGTGGATTTATAACTTTCCCAATTTGTGCATAAATTAATGTAATGAACGTTACTGGAATTGAAACTCAGTGCTCTGAATTCTCATTTTGATTTCTTATTTCACCACCCACACATCCAAGCTTACAGCATCAAGTATTCCCAAATGGTCACCTATCTAGGTACTGACCAGGCTCAAAGTTGCTTAACTCTGGTGATTGAACAAGAATGGGTGTTTCAATGTGATATGGCTGTAAGCCCAAACAAATTAGAAAAAGACCAAACATGTTAAATGAACATGTAGTATCAGCAAAAAGCTGTTGACTCTGGAGGGTCTAAACCAGGGATGGGCAAACTGTGGCCCATGAACTGCATGTAGCCCTGTCTGCTGTATTATCATATTGTTTATTGAAATTTTGTTTGTCTCCTTTCATTCTCACAATGTTGCTTGAATTTTATAAACTTTTAGTGAAAATAACATTTTCATCAATTTAAATCATTGGTGCTTTTCACTATGGAAGATCATGGGCACAAACATCTTTTGCTTTTGAAACAGGAAACAATACTTTTGAAACAGGAAACAATACTTTTGGAAAGCACACTTACTTTTTTTCAGACTCATCAAAGCACAGCCCAGTAAACATAAATTTACAAGGATTAAGTACAATGTTTCTTGAATTTTGTTACCTTTTCTAAAACCATCTTTAGGGATAAAAAACTATAGCACCTTCCTTGATGAATTTTATCTTAACAAGAAAAAACTGATTAGACAACTGGAAAGGATTAGTATAAAAATAAGTAGACACAATATTTTTTTTTATACAATTCACTCCAAGCAAAACAGGAGTGCCACTAGCACACAAGGGGTTACAGAGGATTGAGAACAAGAGTAAAGAGGGATGTTTGAAGAAAGGATACAGAAAAGGATGGGGAACAAGATCAAGGTATCAGAAGATGTTGACTGACATTACACTTGAATATTTGAAGATTATAATTATCAGGGAAGCAAGTAAGAGGAACAGAGTTTCACAGGCAGGAAGTGTGAGACAAGAAACTGCTTGAGTAGAAGAGATGGTTACATTTAACCTTTTCAACAGTGAAAGGGCAGGACTTAGACGCCAACCTAGTAGCACACATGAATTCATGCAGTCTGGGAGCCAGGGAAAGTAGCTCATCGGAACAGTTGCCATGAACTACTTGCAGAAGTGACATGGCATATCTATGAGAAACTGATTGTAGATGAGATGCCAGATCAGGACCTATCACATTGCATATTTGTCTTTTATCAAGGACCTTGGGACATACAGCGGGGGCATCAGATCATGTATCACAGCAATATCTCATGCAAGGACGGATGGTTGATTTGTAGATTTGATTCACTGTATTTGTTTCACGTCATGTCAGCAGACAGTGTGAGACCAAACAGGTGTAACAAGGTGCTCTCAAGGAGATGGCCATCAGCCATTCTGATGGGAGTCAGGGATGG